CAAAAAGTGTGTCTATTTTCTATAGAGTAAATTTTATATGAAGATATCACAAAAAGAATATTGTCTTTAAAATCTTTAAAATTAGAAAATAAAAAGTGGAAATAAAAACTTGCAAAAGTAGATGTAATAATTTTATAAAACACTAAGTAAAGAAATTCTTTCCTTTGCCATTTTGAGAAATAGTATTGCAAAATCATCTAGAATATGTTTGAGTAAGGAACACATTAACAGTGATATAATTCAACATCATTAGTGTATTAAATATGAATTCCATATGTTACTACCAATTTTATAATATCCAGATAGTTTAGTAGTGAAGGCTGATAGTCAGGTTGCTAATTCAAAAGGTGCAGGCTTGATTCCTAATGTAAGGTTTAATTGTTTGTGTATTGTCTTCTTCCTGTTCTGTGGCTGCATTATCATTCAGCCTTTCAGTGCACTATAGTAACGTTTACCTTGATGCGATAGTTAAATGACTAGTGAATTCATCCAAAAACTTCCTGTTGAATACAAATTTGCAAATACGTAGCTGTTAGAATAAAAAAGATGCTTGTATATTATCTGGTGGAGGAAATGGAATATACAGAGAGGCACAAATAAAAGTTACTTGTATAGTATTTTAATATGGTACACAATTCAAGACAAAATAAGAGTGAAAAAATGTAACTTACTGGAGTTGCTGATTTAGATTTTTGTTACTGCCATTCACTTGTTTTCATTGTTGGATCCTGACCAGTAAATTGATGGCCAGTAAATTAATAGCCACTAAATTGACACAAGTTCAATGATGGAGAGAATTTTTTGCTGAATTTCCTGGAGGATTTGATTTCATATTCTCCACAAATAATCATAGGTTTTGAGGTTTATTGAGCTAGCTAGCAAATCGAGATTAAGTATTTTCTTGGCCTTTGCTGATGTCTCTGCCGGAATTGAATGTTTTGTGAATGTGATCTAATGAATTATGAGCTGTGGTGGGTTGCTCCATCCCTTTCGAAATAACTAAGTTCTTTGCCAATTAACTTACTCACAAATGGTTCAATTTTGAAATATTTCCCTGTTTTTTGTTCTAGATTACTCTTATTTATGCATCTTTATATTAAAAAATACAAGTTCATCATACTTTATAGTTAGTTTATCGTTAATTGCTGTCTTTAAATTGGAGAGTTATGGAAATGTTATCAATTTTCCAGGAAAAGTGCTGTGAAAGATGACTCATCTATTATTTATTGTGTTGACTTACTTTTCTTACTTTGCAAGACAGTTTTACCAAGTTTCAGAGAGGTATGGTCATTCTATTATTATTTATATGTGATAAAAGTTGGTATGCATTTTGATTTTTTTTTTTTTTTTTTTTTTCCCCCTAAAATTAAATTTGTCTTTAGGTCATGCTTTCCTCTTGAAAAAAATTACTGCTACTTTACATGTATAGTATAGTGATTTTATTTATTTATTTTTAATAAATAATAAGTTTTAAATGCATTTAAAATTTATATTTTAAGTACCTGTTAAACATTATTATTCTTTCAAGATAATTTTTAATACATAAAAAGTATTCCAGTGTTTTTAAAATATTTCTTGTTTAAAATTCAATGCATATTTTGTGCAATTTAAAATATTCTGTGGACACCAGATATCGGGAAAATGTTTCTATTAATAAAAATTTTTTGATCATAATAACATTAGCTATTGAGACAAAAAGGAAGAAGAGATTAGAATTAAGATAGCAACTAATCTTTTTTTATTCCAAATGACAGGAACTAGCCATTATAGACTGTGGCTACTACTAAGCTCAGAAGTGGTGGTCACTTAATTATGGAGGCACCTTATAGGTAGACCGCCGTTGCTTCCTGTTAATGGACAGACACTTTATTCCATACCTTCTCTGGGATTCAAACCTAGACTTTTCAGTATGGCAGTCAGAGTCACTAACCACTTTACCATCTGAGCAGCAGCAACTAATCTATTTTTAAGTAAATACAGGTCCAGAACACTTATATAATAGTATAATATGTAAATCATTCTAGCACAATTTACAGACATGAGAATGTTTATATTGGCATATCATAGTTTTTCATGTCAAACGCTGTTCTGTGGAATCAGCTCCCAAATATTCTGATGTATTTCAACAAATTCATGAACATTGCAAGGTAGGTGTATCTTTGCATGTCTGATCGAACTGGCGCAAAACTTGGATGTAGAGGTTAAGAGGAGTATGTGCCATTCTCTAGGCACCCCACATTATTTGGAGACAGGTATTTCTTATAGAAAAAAGACACTTTACCAATGCAACAACAGTGGCTATATAATAGGTCACAAGATGTCATCAATATGTCGCCCAGCTGTTAATGTTGTTAAAGATCATGAAAGTTGACTAAACAATGGTTTCCTAGATATAATGGCCCTCTGCTTTTCCATAGTGACACGTGGGAGCAGCATTAATCAGGTTCTATGAATTTTCTAGGCAAACTGTGATTTGTTGCTGAACATGATATAACTTCAATCTGATATAGTGCAGACTTTATTGCTGTGATAACAAAGTAAGCATTTTTACCAAAACACAGAAGTTACTCATAGATACTAGAATAGATAACAATACAGTTCAACTACATATACAAATGAATCTTTTTGAAACTGTGATTCACAGTACTTTATGTTCAAAAGGTATTGATAACTGGTTCTGAATGGTAAATAGCAGATATCTTGGTGTATTCTCTATTGAATGATTGCATCTTTAGAGAAGTTATCATGCTAGGCCTCCTGCTGACCTTAAGAAGGATTACATTAACAATTAAATTATATTAATAATGAAATCCTGCTAGAATCACTGGTGAAAACAAAATTATCTTACTGTAAAGCTTGTGCCAGGTGATTTTTGAATGCGATCACATAATATCTTTCAAAGCAATAATGCAATTTTCGTCAAACTGAGTATTAGTTAATCATGTGGTCTGCTGCATGAGGCAGCTTTGGCGACACGTGGTTTGCTGCACGAGGCAGGGTGAGTAATTAGTTATACCATCATAGGATGACTCTTTGGGGCATTCTCATTTGCTAATACAAACATCAATAGACATTAATAGTCTTAATTAACACAGTGGCTGAACACTGTGTCTTATATATATATGGAATGCATCTTTTATCTGTACATTAACATTAAATGACTTGACTATGCACTTTTTGAACATGCTTCTTTCTAGTTAAGAGATGTTTGCAATTATGTTTCAAGACTGTTAAATGATTTTTCTAGATGTGCAGATGGTTTTGACTCAAAAGCATGTTTTTCTTATTTTGTATCTCTGTGTTTTAATAATGGCTATCTGAAGTATTTGCAACAATTAAGTTTCTATACATATCTTTTTCAAGGGTATCATATTGTTAACTTTGGAAAAAATTACTTCAGAACTTAAAAAAAAAGTTATGAGTGTACAAAATGATCATAAAAAAACTTCCCCTGTATGTGAACCCCTAGTGGCCTATCCGCTGATGGCGGATATAAATGAAGTAGAAATGAATAGAAAGTAGAATAGAAATGAATTTTCATATATTGTTATTTGAAGATAATGCGCTCAAGATTTCAGTTACAGTAAAAAAATTTTGAAATTTATGAATGGCAACACTCACTTATTTCCTGCACAAATAGACCAGTGAAAAATCATAAAGAACATTAAAACGGCACATATATGATGAAAATTGCCAATGTTAAACATTTGCAAAGAAGAGCATTGTAAAAAATCAATGACCGCACAGAGAGGAGCTGCATTGATACACTTTGCATAACTCACTCAATAGATAGAAGCACTAGTCACAGAATACCATGTGCAAAACATTGTCTGAGAAAAACCTCTAATGAGCAGTGTTGGAAGATGGTTTCTTCAGTTAGGTGTTTGAATGTTCTAGCAGCACTGTGTGATGATGATGCAACCAAGAGTTAAGAAAGAGTGTGTTGACTTTGTGAATTTTTTCCTTATCAGATATGATGAAGATAACAGGTGACCTCTCTGGATATTATGGACAGATGAGGCATATTTCTTCTTAACTAGGAGCATTAACTCCAATAATTGCATACAAGTATATAAATGTGCTGCATAACAAGTACTCAGTAGACAACAATGTTGCAGAATTACATAATTCCAGAAATGCAGCAGTGAAATGTCATTAATGACATTGTATGGATGCAAGATTGTGCTCCTCCACACATTGTCACATCCATTTGTCAACTGCTGCAACAGCACTTTAAAGATAGAATCACCTCCTGTAACTTTAATGTTTTGTGGCCACTGCGATCCCCAGACCATTGGATTTGTACTTCTGGGGTTATCTGAAATCTAAGGTGTACACATCAAATCCACGACATTTATTAGAATTGAAAGATGCCATAAAACATGAAGTTGTACAGATTACTCCTGTGATGTACATTCGTTATTGTAGTCAACATTCTCCCATATGCTATGTGTTATCGTCTGCGAGGGGGGCATATTGAAAACTTTAAATGCCAATAAAAGCATTTTTCTCTCTCTTCTCTTGTGTTATCATTTTCCTTTACAATGCTTTTCTTTGTGGATGTTTTATCCCAGCAATTTTTGTCATACATGTATTGTTCCAATGCCATTTACAGTTTTTCAATGTGCTGATCAAATTGTGCAGGAAAAACATTGGTGTTCCCATTTTTAGATTTTGGATTTTTTTCACTTCACTATAACTGTTAGAGCTGTATCCTTTTAAATCATTACAAACTCGAGAGGGCATACTTTCGAATAAGTATGCCCTCTTGAGTTTGTGAAATTTCAAGTTTCTGAAATTCCATTTTGCTTTGTTGAATGAACAGGCAACTAGAGGTTCATATATCAGGGATTTTTTTTAATGATCACCCTGCAATTCTTTTGTTTTAAAAATTTGAGAAAGTGTTATTAATATACATTGTTGGTGTCATTTAATGTACTTTATTTTTCTTTACTGTCAGAAAGAATCCAAGCAGCAATTTTTTGGCATTTTTCAATTCAGAATAATGTTTTGTTTCCTTTTTAAATTGCTGAAATAAAAATTGCTTTTTGTCAGAGAATTACTAATTGTAAATTATTTTTTCCCTCCATATAGGTCATTGGGGGTTTTTTACCATTCATAGTAAGCAGTTTAAACTCTTTTGTAAAAAACTGCGAAAGTGGAAAAAAGGTTATTTTTTTTTCCTTTTCTTTGTTAAATAAAAATAACTTATTGTAATTCCCATATCTTTTGTGTCTGTACATTTTCTTCTATTCTGTTATAAATTTAATTCTATTATATATATATATATCTATACATATTATGTATATATATATATATATTAAAGTAGAAATGCCACAAAATGTATGCAGTCTACTTTCATGTTTTTAATGTTTAGTTGCCAGGGTTGTATAATTTACTTTACTTCGTATCTATTTTTCCATTGACCATTTTTTGGCAGCTAAAAGTTATTTAGGAAGGGTGCAGTTTAGCACCAATAGTTGATGAGTATGTTGTCACAATGCATTCATTAGTTTTATAAAGAAGGATAGAAGTCAACTATTTCTCAGTTTTCTCTTGCATTTTGAAATATATATATATATATATATATATATATATATTAAAATATGGGACTGATTTTGTACAAAATAGAAAGCAGCAAATTATTATCAAAGTTATATGGTTGATTATACTAATACACACTGTAATGCCACTCAAACATCTCTACTAGACTTCTTTTTAAGAGGAAGATAACAGATTGAAAATTAGGGTACAATATTATTTGCAAGCATCAACCAAACCTCCGCACACTTAAAAGCAAACATGGTATGATGCTTCAACAAAACACATCATTTTGAAATTTGTATAACCAAGGCTACTACAATGCTAAAATATTATCTCTTTGGCAATTACAAGATTCAGCAATTCTTTCTTATACCAAAAGTAAAGCTGTTTGAAATCAAGTCTGTTATTTTTAGAAACCCTATATTATGCAAAAGAATATCAGAATAGAAGATAAATATTACTAGTATATATAAAACTGAACTCAACTATCAAAATCTATTTTTGTTTTGTTGCTTGTGCATAACTTTTTTCATATAAGGGTAGAATGCATATTTTTTGAAAAATTAATGTGCTGCTCTGATACTGTATTTTGGGTATTTTATTAAGTTTTAATTATGCTTGTTATGTGAGCATAATCCTATAAAGGATTTTGAGACGTTTATTGATTTAACACAGCTGAGATTTTCCGATGATTGAAAAGAATGGGACTAATTTTTAAAATCATTATCTGATTCAGTTTCACAAACATAATGTAGTTAATATTCATAGTATAAGCATAAGTGTAATTACAGTGTTAATTAGAGAACTTAATCTACAGAATTACAGATTACAGAATTATTTGCAGAAACTTTTCTTCAACTTTTCAGATGGCCTTAAATTTTTAGAAGTTTGTTTCTCAAAATTAAATTATTTTTAAACTTTAATAATCAATGCACTTACTCACCAAAATTAGCAGTCATACTTGAGGTTAATGTCTCAGTAGCGGTTTTTCATATGGAACTGATCAAAAGCTTCATTCAAATTGTGACACAAGCTTTAATCAGTGTAGCAAATGTCACTCCAATTGCAGAACTCTTAATTTCTCTCACTTGTTCTCTAAATTACAGCATTGCTTTTGTTATCGATTTCATTTAATGAATATGCACATTTTGGAAATTTAAAAATGGGCAAAAGAGAACAAGTGACAGAAGAAATTGAAATTATTAATTAATTGTTTGAAAAATAAATATAAATTTTACTGAGTGTACATGGCAGTACATATTTTGTATATGATACCTATTATCTGTAAATTGAATGATTCAAATCTTTAGATTCTACTCTTTAGTATCTACTGCTTTGCCAGTCAATGGCTATTTATCGTACAGTGCTTAATTTTTAAAATTAGAAGTTCTACAGACCTGTTGAAAGCCAATCAGTTATGGTGAACAAAATAGATAAGTAAAGCAATAAATAAGCAATAATAAGTTACTAAATAATTAAATTTAGATATTATATAATGAGATAAAATGTTAGTAAATTAAATTACTGATAAATATGTAAATAAATGTGAGCAAATGAAATGTGAGTAAATTAAAAATAATAAAACATGATAGATGAAAGAAAGGTAGAATGTAGGAAAGTATTAATTTAGAATATTTTTAAGGTAGAATGATCTTCCTGACTGAATTTAAAAAATAAAGGACATTAAATATGCTGTATGTGCCGATGACTTGGTAGTATGGACTTCAGCACCTAGAAAATAAACTAATAAAATGATGCTTAGGATCAGTCAGGCTCTGGAAGCGTTATGTGAATGTTTCTACAGACAATTGAATAGAAGTGAGTATTGAGAAAATGATGTACCAAACTTTTATCCTGAATCATCAGTTAACTGATATGGACTTGAAGTATAATAGCTTCCTCCATCTATAGCTTCTACCGAGCCATCGGGGAGACAGAGGAAGCTATTTCTTTAGAAGGGAAGTTTGAAAAAACCTCTCCTGGCAGAGACATATTGATAACATTATTGATGGAACTTAAAAATGGCTAACAGTAGTTAAAAGACTCGCAGGGATAAAATGAGGTTGTGTAAGAGAAACTCTAAAACATATAATTTATATATTAAGCCATTAATTTGCTATAGTTGTGAGGCCCTGATTACATGTAGCAATGCAAACATTTCAAAACTTGAAGTCTTTCAAAATGAGACCCTGAGGCTTGTTACTGGAGATGTGAAAACTACTCCAATACAGGTAATAAACCATTGTAGGAAATTATTCAAGAAAGAGCTTTAATACTGTAGGGGAAATTTGTCAGATTACCATCAGTATAGTCGTGGAGAAATTATGTTATCTGTAGATCTCAAAGATTGAAGAATCAAGATGGATTTTTGCAAAACGTTTTTAAACTGAAATCGGAAAACTCCCTCCTGAATGTTTCCACAGGAGAACTATTGAAACCAAGAAGCCCTATCCACCTGGGATCTATTAGAATTGAATGTTTTTTTTATGTATGCTAAAATAAAGTCATCATCAATCAATAATGAACTAAAAGCAGCTGCTATGGAGACAATTTACTCCAGATATCCAAAGAATAATTAGCTTCGCATACATAGTGATGGATCGAAAATGCTCGACAGAATTGGAGCTGGTGTGTATTGAGCTTTTTGCATTCTACTCTTCTCTTGGCCCATTTCGGACCAGTTTCAGTGGAAAACTGCAAATAATTAGAGTTGCAACTAAACAGATTATTGTTAGAACAATCCTACTTTCAGCCACTCAAACGATTTCTGAACATAATGTCATGGAATCAAAAATTATTGAATCTTTCAGAAGGACTCTTTATCTTCTAGCCTCAAAAGGGATGACTGTTGTCTTACAGTGGATTCCAGCCCAGGTTGGAATTACTGGTAATAAATGTGCTGGTAAGCTATCTAAAAAAGGAACTGAAATTTTGAAATCAAATAATAGTGGGGTTCCATTTGCATCAATGAAAAGAATAGTGGAAAATGCCCTGAGAGAAAATTTTGATATTAAGTTATTTGAAGAAATTAAAAGTAAGACGTCGAGGGATTCGATTTTTAATATTCTGTACTCTCTCAAATCCATTGCAGTTGTGGTGCTTTGTTTGGAGACCAGACGGGATTGTCTCACTAAACATCTGCATCACATTGGTATATATGACTGCACCTTGTGTACTTTGTGCAACCAAAATTTGAGATAGACAGAGATCATTTGCTAAAACGTTTCTCATTGAAAAGAAGCTAACCTATACTGTCAATATTGGCAGGCTAGAGATTGATGCGGTTGACATCCAGAGACTAATTTATTATTATTATTAATGCTTAATATAGTCATTTGTTATTCCATTTTCCAGTATTGATATAGTTATAGTAAGGAGGTTAGTTACTCTTTTGTCTTTTTGTAATTCTATTTTTGTATCTCCCCCCCCCCCCCCCCCCCATGTTCCATTCTCGTACATCAACGGTTTTGATCACCTTTGCAATTAAAGAAAAAATTCTGACACTGATTTCAATTCCTCTTTACATACTTTACTGAATCGTACTAACAAGCAGTGGCTATTTTTCTATCAATGTATTTATTTTGTATACCATTAAAACTGTATTTGTTAAGATTTACTTACAAAAGAAATTAAAAAAAAAAAAATAAACTCACATATTAGTCTGCTCATTAACACGTTGACTGCCGCACACATTTTACGTGGTTTGCCCATGCTGCCAACATGATTTTTTTACTACGCAATGTATTTTATGTTGAAATATTATTCCAGAAGATAAGGTGAGTTACATAATCGTGTTTAATGCATTTTTCGTGGTGGTGGGGGTCATCGGTGATCTCTGAGGCGCTGTAGACGATTCTTTATTCTTCAAACCATTATAGTAACAATGGTATTATTTAAAAATTTATCCGTAATGATATTTACTCTAATTATTTACGATTGGTCACGGCGCCGGTCACGGGTGCCCCCCCACTGCATTGTTACCAAGTTGACTGCTGGACCTCGGTGCTCCCCACGGCAGTCAACGTGTTAACTAACAAAGCAATGGCTGTGATATTGAATTAAATCCCACATAAAAGTTGTTGAGCTGGAATTCAATTCAAAAATTTTATTCTGTTTAAATAGAACAAGTGAAATTTATTGGATTTTCTTTTAAACAAAGGAGGGATTTTTCATTGCAGTCTAAAAATATTCAAATAAATTATGAAGTATTTCATATTTTATTCAAAAAAGCTATTTTACTTGCTTTTTATCTTTCCTAATTAATTTTTAGCAGTCCTCTTTAATATGCACTGTTATAGAACTCTTCATTTAATTCTAATTGCTTTGTTCAAATTTATTATTTGATATCTATTTTAAAATTTTTATTTGATTGTAATTTTAGGTGTTTTCATTCTTATCATACCTAATTAATGATAATGAAGACCACCTTGCTGAATACTTACCTTATGTTGATCCTTTTCCGAGTAATGAACTATTCTGTCCGCTCGCTAGGAAGCAAAATAAGGTGAAATACAGAAATGGAAAGTTAACACTAGAACAGGTAAAATATTTAAAGGAAGCTGTAATTAAATGAAAAATAAAAATAATTTCAATTGTTTTTGTAATTGAAATAGGATTTTTTGCTAATCTTATTGTGTAATTTTTATTATAAAATAAAGTTACCAAAACGTAGGTCTAAATATTCTTTTGTAAAGAAAATAATGATTACATAAATAGTAATGCTTTATGATCATTTTAACCTTTTAACATGAGCTATGCATATTAAAGTTTTGTGTGTTAAAGCCACTTAGTTAGTGCCCACCAGCAGCAGAGCAGTAAAGATGCTGAACACTGGTAGTTCGGTCCGAGTTTTGAATCCCGCGAACAGGCTGGCTGCATGGGCGTTTTCATGGTTTTCCCCAAGCGCAATGTGTATATGAGCCAGTTTTCCTTAGAAAGTCCTCCACGAAGGCATCCCTCCCTTTAGACAGATAGCCCTTGTGTGCTTTGCCATAATTAAATAATCCAATCTAAAGCCGCTTAGTCAACTGTTCAATCAGCAAGGAAGAGAAAAACAAATCGGCTGCTTTGGCCATTTCCTACTCTACATAAAGAGAAAATTTTAAATCTCTATCGTGAACTAAATTTCTTTGAACACTATCTAATATAGTGAATCTGTGAGGATATACGTTTCAGCTCCCTGGGAAAGGTTAGATCTAATTATATACTTTAATTGGATATTTTACCTCTTTCTGTATATTAATATTCTTTTTTGTATATTAATATTCTAATACATTTCCTTTATCATCACCAAACCTTATTTCCATATGATTATTAATTACATATTTAAAATTTTGAAGCTGTTATTGAAACAGATATAATTTAAATTTTGATGTATTAGTAATAATAAACTTGCTAATTTTTGTTCTTTGTATGACAGATGTTGTATTTTGATATACATTTGCTTTCAGTATTTAGTAGCAGTTTTTGAGTTAGCTGTTTAATCGTTTTAGTTTCATTAATTTTTTATTCCTTGTAAAAATAATTATCCTTATTTGTAAACATTAATATTTATGTCTATCTTAAAACATTCATTAATAGTTAATTACTTTTGTGCATAATAGGAGTTATGCATATCTGCCTACTTAAATCTGTTTATTTTGGGAAAGTATTTTTATTTATTTACTTATTTATTTTATTGTTTATTTATTTACTTGGTGATATGATTTGTGTTTATAGGTAGTGATTTACATTTCATGTAGAAGTGAGGATAGATGTTCATATTTCAGGTTCTGCTTTGAGCAGTAATGAATACTTATATATCATAAGAACATGTCTTCAAATTTCCAGATGTACCATATTTCTTGTAATACAGAATATGTCATTTTATTTTAAAATATTTATTTTTGTCTTTTAAACATATTTTTGCAGGAGATAGACATTTTTTTGAAGTCATGCAAAATGATGGGTAAAGGAACTTTGGAAGGTTTAAATCAACTTTGTTCTGAACTTAATTCTAGGAGAGAAGAATTAGCAGATATGGTAAACATTTTAAAATGTAAGTTTATTAACCATCATTCATTTTAAGTTTTTATTCTTAGTATAATTTCAAGTTAGTTTTGAATTAAGGTAAAGCTTCATAGTTTTAAAGTATGGGAGAAAGATACCCATGATGAGGACTTACTTTAATTATTTTTGATATAAGATAGCCTTACTTGCAAGATGTCTCATATTTCTAAGCATATTTTATGAGGGAAAAGGGGGGGGATTGCTTGTAGCAGAGCCTAACAGTTCATGTATATGGAATCTATCCATTCTTTGATTATGTATAGAGCACAAAATCAGTCACTCTCTGTTAGCATGTATATGGAACAAACCGATGGATGTAAAGCTTTTTTTAATATTTAAAGTATAATAATTATATTAAGTGTGCGTATGTACCAAAATGAAATTTTTTTTTGAGTTAAACTTTAAACATAGATTTTAATTTTTATATTCCATTTATATATTTTTGATTTTTAATTTTGTGTATTCTACTGTGTTTAGCTTTTAAATATGTGTAATTAAAATGTTTTTAGCAAAGACATTATTTTCTGAAGATGTAAAAAAAAGTATCCTACATCAATTAGTGTGCCAATTGTCATCACTTTGTGCTCCTGGTAAATCTGCAGTAGATGTAAGTTTTATGTTTTATTGATAATAATGTATTGTATATTGTAATTTATTTCTTACACATTAATGTACAATAACGGGATGTTAATCTTATTTCTTTAAATAGCAATGTCAATAATTTTAATCAAATAATTCCAGCTGCTAACTAAAATCAAAATTTTATGTGTTAAAAAAATTATTTTGCATCTGTGTTAAAAAAATTATTTTGCATTTTACATAATATTACACCAGAGTGGAGACTGGTGTAATTACTACTTGCTATCCTTTTTTAATTATATTATGGTAAATACACTCACGTTTGTGAAAATTGCAACACCATGAAGGACTTACACGAGTCAGCTGAAATTTTCAGGAAATGCAAAGTAGCGCATGATATGCAAATGATTAGAATTGCAAATCCGTAGCGCATGCGTATGCTGAGCAGCGCCCTCTGAACGGCTGATGGATCCGAATAAATAGACGGCTGTAGCGAGGCGTGTATGATTATCGGTGGTTATCTGCTAGTGGTAAACGTTAACTCAATCTGTACTTATGCATCGTCGACGAAAAGAGAGCGAGATTTGAACAACTTACAGAGTTTGAACGAGGGAGAATCATCGGCCTTCGTGAAGCTGGATTGTCGTATCGTGCAGTAGCCTCTCGTTGCAGCGTAACAGCAGCACAGTGATGCGCGTTTGGAAGCAGTGGACGGACGAGTGTCGACAACTCGGAAATCCGGGAGGGACCCCGAAATGTGACGTCAGCTCGCGATGATAGACACCTGGTCCGCATGGCGCGGACGGACCGTACAGCTTCCTCTAGACAATTGGCAGCACTGTGGTCAATAGCTACAGGTGTTTCATTGTGTTGCTTCATCAATTCGTAGACGTTGCGCAGTGTGGACTGCGCGCACGGACTCCTTATACAGGATCCCCCTAACGCACGACCATCGCCGCCTGCGGCTACAATGGGCCAATCAGCATAGAGACTGGCGTGCTGATTGGCAGCATGTCGTGTTTTCTGACGAATCCCGCTTTAATTTGTCGGGTACTATGATGGCCGCATTCGTGTCAGACCTATGCCGGTGAACCCACCTTCCGGAGTGCATTATCGAACGCCACAGTGGACGAACACCCGGAGTTTGGTCTGGGGCGCCATAGCATATCAAGACGATCTCAATTGCTACGAATTGTGGCAATCTGAACAGCAACCGGTATATCCGTGAAGTTCTACAGCCCGAAGCTGTACCCTTTCCTTCAAAGCTTGCCAGGCGCTGTATTTCAACAGGACAATGCCCGACCTCATACTGCTCGGATTGTTAATCCTTCTTTGCAGCGCAGCAGGTACCAGCTTCTTCTTGGCCTGCATGTTCCCCGGGATATGTCGCCATTGAACATGTGTGGGATGCATTGTCGGCGTCTTGCTCGTGATCCTGTCTGTTGCGTCTGCCACGAACTTTGGGTACGCGTACAAACGATTGGATGCTCTTCCTCAGTCAGACATCAACTTTGTTTGACTCCATGCCACGTCGTGTAGCAGCACTTATTGCGGCGTGGTGGCAACACAATATATGATTCTGATCTCTTGTTCTTGTTTGTTTGCTTAACATTTAATCATTTATTTGTACCACTACCACTCAACTGTGTATTAAATTGCATTCAATTATGACGATTCCTTCTTGGTGTTGCAATTTTCACAAACGTGAGTGTATACAAAGAATTATAGTAAATATTCATAGCTATATTAAAATTGTCAAGAGATGTAAATGAAGCAAATGTCACACAAAGTCTGAAATCCATACATCCAATATCCAGAATGATCTAAAATTAAAATGACTTATGGATCACCAGCAACCATTATTTATTTATTTGTTTGTTTTTTAATGAAACATGCTGAGATTGCTGATTCTTAATTTCAGTTCGACACTGCCAACACCTGGCAAATCATTATTTATTATTTTTTACTTTCTTTACTATATGACATTCAACGCATTGCAGCTTGAAACATGACTCATGCAGCAATGTTTAAGTAATTTTTATTTATTTATTTATTTTTAATAATAGTAATTGAATATTAAATAGCATGGTAACCTTTTATGTTGACATTATACTTGGCAATGATTACAGACTTCAGCTAAATTCGCTGTGAAGTATTCAGTGTGTCGACAAGGAGACATTTCTTACCATATGAAAAAAATAAATTTTGTAAATGAGCTTCATAGGCCAAAAGATTACATTTAGTATTGCTTGAATTGAGAATAACTGGATTGTTATTGGTTTGGCAGCAAAATTTTGAATTAACAGAGACTGCATTGGGTCACAAAATGTCTAGTACCAGGCCTGGTTAAGCCATTAGTATTTATATAAATTTAGTTGTTCGAGACTTGAATAAGGCTTATGAAAATGTGCGGGAAATAGGTATTAGTATAATAATTAATTAAACTAATATAATTCGAGCTTAACTTCGTCAGCTTGCAATAAAAGCAAGACAAAATTTAGCGAAACAACAGGCCCTCAATTATCAATCTCATGGCACATCCACAGTAGTGTTTAGCAGAGGCTAACTAAGCTTTATGATGATAACTGCAAATGCAGGGCCGTTCCTAGTACTGGCTGCCCATGTACTTTCCTAAGATTGCTGCCCCCAAATAAAAGAAAATGCTCAATGATTGATAAAATTTTTACAATGAATTTAAAATATTTAGGTGTGATATCACGAGAGTCCGGCCACCTGCGTATCTCTACGCGCTGCACCCCCGCTAGGAACTGCACTGTGCAAATTAGAAGCTTTTCAGATATCGCAAGCAAAAAGTTAAATTTTTTATTAATGGACTTTCTGCAGAAATATGGAGAAGTGGTAACAAATGCAGATGATATAACTGATTTTCATTGTAATGACAACGCCCCAAATGGCAAAGTCTGTAGTTTGGTTCTAAATCTAGAGAATATTGCTACTGATAGTGAAGAAAGTTTTAGAGAGGATGTTGAGAATGAATAAATTTTGATTGACAGTTTAGTGAGAATTCTAGACACAGCAATTACAGGACTAGAACAATGGAACTATATAACTAAGTTTTGCATGGTAGTTAAAATGAAAGGTTATGAATGTGTTTATATATAGAAAGAGAGACTTTTTATTTTTATTTCTTTATTGATTATCTTTTTAATAATTTTTTGCTAAAAAAAAAAGGCTCAGTTTCAGTCGAGAAAAGGTAATCTGTTTAATGCAGTGTTAATTCTGCTTAAAGAATAACAAATTTTAACAATAGATTGATATATTTAAAAGCTATTATGTAAATTAATATATCCTTAAACTATAAATTTTTGTGAGACAAATTGATTTAAGAACAAGAAGTAAACATTTAAAAAAAATCTAATATATTCCTAATTCAACATGTACCGCCCTGTGCTAGCAAAATAAAATCTGTAGATATAATCATGCTTGGAAACTAATGGGTAAAAATGGAAAGAACCGAAAAACAGCTGTTAGTAAATGTTGCCATTGGGCAAAATATAAGATCGCTAATTTATTTTTCATGCAGTGTCATAATTAGTAGATTCTTAAAGTTTTGCCATTTGGCAAAATGTGAAATCTTTCATTTATCTCTCAAATTTAATCAGTCTGTTAGTGATTAACAAATGATGCACTGTAAAAGTTAAATGTTATCACTGTGTGAAACAAAAGATCTGTGCCTTCCATAGTCCTTTCTTTTGTTTAGGCTTGTTAATTTTGTACTCTGCAATTGATTCATTTTGAACATCTGTTGTTTGTTTGCGAGCTAGTTGCGTTTCCACTCCTGTTATATTTTCAGTTTGTGTAACTATCAAACTGACATGATAATTAATAGTTTTATTTCAACTTTTACAATGTTTTGTGTTACTTCTTCTTAGCAGGCTGCTAGAATGTGAAGTTGTCTGAGGCTTGTCTTATATTTACTTTGTAATTTGGTAATTCAAAGTTAATAATGTAACCATATACATCGCGGCGCGCAATGAACTGGCAGTTGATTTGTCAGCACTATCGTTATCTTCAGGGCAGATGTTTTTATTTTATTCTGCTTATAATTTCTTACTAAATGTTGTATTTCATCTCGATGTACTCCGTCTTTGATATGATTTAAATCAAATTCCTCGTCATTATAAATATCACGAATACAAATCAAATAGTTTTCTGTTTGCAATTTTCTAATTTCGGCTATTGCGTAATGTATGCTTTATGCATGCGCGCGTTGAAAGAAATGTTTAATAAAGTAAACAAATAAATATTAAGCTTCTTTTTTTTTGTAAATTTTGATACCCTTTAGATCATAATTGCTCATTATTTTATAAATTACGGTTTCATATTTTTAATTTTATAATTTCTGCATGCCATCTTACCAGATTTAAACTGATGATCTATAATCCGGAAAAATAAATAATCTGGAATTGCCGAAGTCCCGACGAGTCTGGATTAAAGACTTTTGACTGTAGTATTTTCAGAGAAGATAACTCCTTCTCAATGAAAGAGGAGACAAGTTACCTTAATAGAGCACTATAACATTTGGACAACTGTGACGAATTCCAGTAATAATTCAGGAAGCACTCAACTGCACCCTTTCAAATTTATTATATATATATATATATATATATATTGAGTAGCTTCAGTTTCATCAAATTATCTCAAATTATGTCTGAAGGCTTAATATTGTTTGAAGTCTGAAAGTTATAATATATCTTAAGGTTGCCATTGACTGATGTTATACTTAGTCAATTAGTGATTATATATAGTCAATTAGTCAATTATATATTAGATTTAATATACTTAATCACTATTTTATTTGCTTTTCTTGAAAAACAATAAAAACTTTTATTAAGCTGTCATTTCCCTTTCTAAGCATAATAGAAATCAGAGTTGCAAATTTAATACTAAAAAGTAAGTTAGTAATTAAGATTTAGGGTTAGTAATCTTATTTTAAATGTTACAATTTCACTTCAAATTAGAATTTTAAAATTTATTGGGATTCAAAATACCTGGTTGTAGCAAAAGTTTTTCTGCCAAAAAATGTTCTTAATAAAATGTTGGGGGGGGGAACATAAAACCAGCCCCTTTAGTACAGGCAGTAATCACCACCCAAATCTATGGTTTTCTGCCAAGGTTACGGTACTTTTTCAAAGCCTTTGGCCCAGAAACTTTGTGACCTTGAGTCCAAAAACAAATCAACCTCATTTCAGACATCCTATTCAGAATAGAAGATAGCACCATCAAGATGTAGCTGCAGATGTGGAATAAGGCAAAACTCTGGAGGTGCGATATTGGGCGTGGCAAAAGATCCCATTCAAGTCTGTTCAGAGTCCAGCTGGTGAATGCAGACATATGTGGTCTTGCATTATCTTGATGGAACATTACCTTTTTTGTACCAGAAATCAGTTTGACATTTTCCCTTGATAGCAGCGCCAGCACGAATTATATTTCACTGTATACCCCTTACTGTCGAGGGTTTTACCATTTCCAGATACTTTTTTGGATAATACCACTGCATTTCCACCAGATACAAAGCATGATCTTTTTGTTAGTCAAATTGCACTTTGTGGCACTGCTGACGGGCTCACCGGGTTCAGACCAACCCCTTTTCAGCTTGTGTTGTTCAAGTAAATTCATTTTCATCATAAGTGTTGATCTGGTCCAGAATTTTGTCCTTTCATTGATATTCAAGTAGATTAGTGGTGACCGGAACACGTCTGTCTTTATCTACTTGTGTCAGTTCATGTGGCATCCAGCAAATGAACTTGTACTTCAAATTTATGAGATGCATAGCGCCACTAATGGACATGGCACTAATGTCTAAAACCTTAGCAAGTGCTCGAGTGATTGCATACTGTTCTTTTTCCCCAAGTTCATGTAGGCAGACCTCATCAACATCAGTAGGATGGCCAGAGAGAGCACTCTGCTTCTTGAATGTCATAGTCCTTGTTTTTGAACTTTACTAAACCTTCACAGTGTGATATGATACAGCATTAATACTTGATGTACTACCGTACACATGATTTGGTGACATTCTGTTGCCGACGTTTTAGCAACAGAACTGGAAGTAAATGATGGTTCTAATCTGTTAGCGTGATAGTTCCATCTCAGACACATTGTACTTAATAATAACAATATTCCTTTAAAAATTTCACAGCACAGTATTCTAAAACAAGTCTCTTTTTTTCAAATGCTAAAAATCATTTAACAAAATATGATTAATCACATGGCAGCGTGAAGTGTTTACGCAGACGATGTTTGTGGTGATGGAAAACTTTCATTAAATCTAATAATAAGCTTTAACATGGAACACCATATTTCCAATTTTCAGCTCTTGTTTTCATCTTATTATAATTTTGATAAGGCATTTAGATATATTCTTTTAATTTTTAGTATAAATGAATTATTGATGTACTACCTGATTGCAAAATATTCTTCAGAATGCATAACCCATTAAATGAAATGTGTAATTTACATTTTAGCCCATAATATTTTAAATTAAATGAAAATTAATCTGTGAAATAATATATGTTTAAAATAATAGACACACTGAGCATAATACTTGAAAAGGATTTTATTTTTGCTTTAAAAATACATCAGCTTTTATTCATAATTTTAAGTGTAAGTTATTCAGGACATAAATTATATTTTCATTTTTATGTATGTTATATATAAATTGGAATTTTGCTGAAAGTATGCCAATCTATAGTTATTAAAATATTTGCTGAAAGGTATGTCACTCTATATTTATCAAAATATTTGTGTATATATATATATATATTTTTGCTTCTTTCTAGGTTCAAATTGCAGCAAGTCGATGTTTAGGAGCGATTGGACCAATCGCTTTTTCATCTGTAGTGCTGCAGCCATTTTCTCATGATACAATAGGAGGTCTAAATGCTTTACAGCAAAGCTATACTGTAATTTTAAATATTCTTACTGAGTATTTATTTGATAAAAGGTATGCAAAAATGTTTTTCTGCTCCTCTTACTAATATTTTTATGCTGCGTAAAATTCTTTTTTTAGCAGGTAGTAATGAGCATGTGGAACATAAAATATTCATAAATTTTATGCATCTGAATTTTTTATCTTGCAACTTTCTATTTTATGCATTATTTATTTGCTGTTTTATTTCATCTGTTTTTTGGTCACACATGTATTCTTGAATTTCTCGCATACTTTTGTTTTTATATTATTATCACTATTAACTGCTTTGTTTTTATTTCAATTTTAGTATTGATATCAAAATTACAGCATCACAAGTTCTTAAGGATCTGTTAGGCACTAGAATAGGCTACACATTTTATCTTGATTATAAGTTACATCATCCTGATAATAACATCGAAAGATATGCTTATCCATTTTTTGCATGTCAAAATGTAAGTAAGCTCTTGTAACAATTTTTATCAAGTGTATATCTGTATTATTGCATAAATAAACCAATCATGAGAAAAAAAAATATTGTGAAATGAGCTGTTACAATTCTCACATCCCAAGTGAAAGTAAAGCATTCTGTAAAATAAGTCTGCTTATTTCATTATCAATCAACTAGTTTTATAATGGGATAGCCTGTTTGGTGGAGGGGGAAATCACTTATTTATCCACACATTTATGCACAGAGAAATCAAGTCAAAATTTAAGGGAAATTGCAAGAATAAACTTATGATTATTAAAAAAAAAACATAGAACTTTTCTAAATTGGAGTTCATATTGAATTTATTACATGCGACTTAAAATCATGTTACCTGTCCAATTTAAAATTCAATGATTCATTTTATTCAATTTCTTTTTTAAAAAATGCTAATAGAATATCTTCTCACTTTTTAATATTTAACATATATTAAATAAAATGCAAATGTTTGGTAAATCTCTGAGTAATAAATAAAATTTTGTAAACATTTATTATTTGTGATGTCATATATCCTCCATGTACTGGGGCCTAGAAGAGTTGTAAAAGTTAAAGAAACGAATGTTAAGTTATTTTGCGTGTGATAGGTAAGAACAGGTATGACATGGTATGTTAAAGCAATGTTTTGTATCCCAACCATGCTTAATACTATACAATGTGAGTGGCAGTATTTTTTTATTGCTCTGCTGACTCTTGGAAATTATGCTTAAGTATTATGAAAGCTGAAGAGGGAAAGTACACATAAATGTAAAATGCAATATACTGGGCAAAATATTATTACTTAAGTCTCGAGAGATTACTTAATATTATTTAATATTCTAATATACACCTTCTTATTACTTAGTCTTTCTGTGTGTAATTTATCATTTAAACTTTATCAGACTTATGCATAGTATATTAAATATCACATTTCCCTATGCTAAAAATATTTGCTGAAAAGTCGTGTCACATTCATGAAATTTGCTTTACTGCAAGAAATTAGTATACTGTATATAAGAAAAGTGCTTGAACTTCATCCATTGTAGCAAATGAGCATGTGAATCCATGTTGTAGTACAAATGAATATCTTTCAACCATTGAACACAATCCAGTGTGTTGTGCAAAGGATGCTAGAGCAAAGAAGCTTGAGTTTCTTTTATCATATGGTGTGTGGGTTATGGCTCAGTTATTAATCTTCAAAGACATAACTCCACATTGCTAAAACACAACTTTATTAACACACCTATTCATTAACCACAACTATACATTAACATGACTATTCATTAAAACAGAAAAACTTCTACACAAATATTCGAGCATCCTTGCACTCGAGCTAAGGGCAATGTGTGTGAGTTCACTGGTAGTGCCAGTTATTCCGAATACAACATGATGTCATCTGGTGGCACACACTGTCAAACATAAGACTGCCATTATCACAAACATACTGTCATGTCGTAACTTTGTTATATGCCAGCTCGCTAACCCTCTTATTCTAATATTCTTTATTATCAGAATGGTTCTGTGGGGGTTAGCATTTTCAGACAATTCAAGTGATCTAAAATAATGGGACAGCCCATCTATGGCACATACTATAAGAGGTCTTGAAATATACTGTGTGCAGACAGAAAGTTCTCCTGTAATCTATATACAGTTTACAATCTGAAATCTGAATGTGTAATATCTGGACCTCCAGACTTAGGAGTATAGACTCCAGAATATTACCAGGGGAGTGATAATAATATTAAAAAAATGTCCTTCCTCCCCTACAGAGTCTAGGAATGGAGAATGTTGATTAAAACATCTGCTTCATTAAAAACAAAAATGAAGTAAGTATGTTGTAAATGTGATTTCTCTCGAGACTTAATTAACATTGCTACATGCCATATTCCAATACTTGCTGGCTAGGAAAGTGGCACTGTGGCCAATGACCATATAACCTCACACTTTTGGCCTTTGAGAGGTTGTGGAAGGTTAGCATTTTTCTCTCTGTCGTCCCAGAGCCGCTTTGTCTCCATGCTGGCTTACTAGATGTAAACTAATGATCTAAATATCTGGGATTGGTGAAATCCTGATGATTCAAGATCTTGGACTTATTGTATTATATATGGTGATATGGTAAGGGACAGGGAGGAGATTTTGTTGAAGCACAAGTTGTTTCATGAAGCAAATAACACTTTTTTTAATAAATAAAAATTTAAACATTACATTTTGACCAAATATAGTTTTGAAAACCTATAACTACATGATTTGAATTGTATATATTTTAATATAAGGGCAGTTAAAAACACAGGAAAAGGAAATAACAGAATATAATTAATAGAAATAGTTAATCGGCAATAAATTTATTTGGCTACATTTACTAAATCAGAATTCAAAACAGATAGAACATTTTATAAATAATGGAAGAATAAGCATCATTAGAAATGAAGGAACTAATTTACGAATAGCATTAAAGAACAATATTTACAAGAGAACCTAAACAATGTTAGTGAATTCACATTAACAAAAATTAGAACTTTTTTATCACTGCTGTCATACCATGCACTTTTCTATTCTTTAATTTATTTTCCGTACATAATTTTGTTTTATGCTGGTGGTTTGTGATAATAATTTTTTTATCATTCCACAGTAAACGAAATAAAATTTTTTTACTAGTCATAATCCAATTAATTCAGAACCTGATTAATTTATCCATGGTTAATTGAGTATTGATGGAAGTATTATTTTTGCCAAGCAATTTTATTTTTTAATTCTTGTATTCAAGTGTGTACGTTTGCATTGTAAATATTTATTTTACTACTGATATTTAATTGATCCTAAGCCAAGTTTAATTATTCCATAACTAATATTACTGAAAACTTTTTAAAAGCTCAAATTTGAAAATGTAATTTAGTCTGTATTCGGTATATTACTCTTTATTTTTAAACATCTTTCATATATCTGTATTTATATCTTTGTATTATATCATTTTCTACGTAGGCTGTCTGAAACGTTTCTGATCTAAGAAAGAAAAAATATTTTTCTCCAAAATTACCTTTATTTTTCGACATAGTCTCCTTGTAAGTTTATACATTTCTTCTAACAATGCTCCCATCTTTTTACCCAGCCAGATAGTGGAATCTTTCTCTGTAATGTCTTCTCATTTGCCAAAAATATTTGTCCTAGTGCTTCTTTTAGCTTAAGGGGGGGAGAGTCAATTGGTGCCAGGTCTGGCAAATAGTGTGGGAAATCAAGCAGTTCAAATCGTAATCCATGGATTTTTGGTATTGCAACTGCTGAGGTGTGAGGTGGAGCATAGTCTTGGTGAAACAAAAATTTTTTCTTTTGCAAATGTGGCCATTTTCCCATAATTTCTGCCTTCAACTTGTCAAGTAACATTGTATAGTATGCTGCAGTAATAGTTATTCCTTTTCAAGATAATCTATCGAGACGGTCCCATAGCTCTCCCAGAAAACTCTTGCCATTACTTTCTCAGATGAAGGAACAGTTTTTACCATTTTTGGAGCCAAATCTCCATTTGCAGTGTACTGTTTTAACTGTGATTTTGTTTCTGGGCTGTAGTGATGAATTCAGGTTTCACCCACAGTGATTAATACTCTGAAAAACTCTGATTTATTCCGCCAAGAGAATGGTGCAAATGTTTATTCGGACACGTTTTCGGTCAAAAGTGAGCAAACACAGCACATAGCGTGTACCCAGCTTATGCATATGTAAATCTTAGCTCAATATGTGAACACGTTATTTCGACACGCTAATAGCCTGTGCTGGGTGCCTAATAGCTTCTGTTGTACTCTTTGGTGGATTTTAGCAATGTTTTCTTCAGTGGTTGCAGTTTTTGCCCATTCTGAACATTCGTCATCCAAGCTGGTATGTTCATGTTTAAATTTAGCTGCCCAAAATTTCACAGTAGTAAATGATGGTGCGGAGACTTTTCAGACAGTCCTCATAAAATGTTACATTTAAATTTATTTAGTAATTTTAAGTTGTATTTATAAATACACAAGCATTTGCTGTGTGGCTAGAATTTGAATTAAACTTTCAGATGTCTATTTTTCACTTCTTTCTTCTAAAATAGTTATAGAAATATGATGGTGGTTTTTGTTATGAAAAATTAAAATAATAATATTTTAATTATTACTTATTTTCAGACCAAGTCTTTAAAACGGACTTGTCAGTACAGTCCATGCTTAAACAATATTCAGAGATTATCTGTCTGGCTTCCGATTGGTTATGAACATTCTGAATGGATAACAAATTTAGTATGTACCATCATAGAAAGTGGTCTTACAGGAAATAATTTTTTTGAATGCTTAATTCCTATATGTAAGAAACAGGTAAAATATATATTACTTTGCTTAAGTATCATAAGTAGTTATATAAATTGTGAGTTGCTTTACATTTAATACAACTGAATTTTGTAAGAACAGTGATAATAATTATTATTTAACTTTTTGCACTCGAGCTGTGCCACTACAGCACCTGGAGGTTTGAAGCATACACTCGAAGGGTGCCACTATGGTGCCTGGGAGGTTTGATGCATCCAATTGATGTTCGCTGTACTGGTGCTATGCGAGTTTGGAATTTAATCTGTTTATTTACGATGTACGATAAGATATTCTTATCTGAAATACTTTTATGGGCCAAGCTCAGTTTGTGTTCTTAGCCAAATCTTAGCTTAGTTTAGTTAGTCTCAGCATAGCATTCGTATGGGGGGGGGGAAATGTAGTTTTAGAAAGAAATGAAACTTTAGAAAAATTAAAGCTAAAGCTAGCTGGTTTACCCAAGTGAAAAAGACCTTGAGTGCAAAAGGATAATATGTTATTTTTAATATTTAAATATATTATATATGTTATAATTTTTAAATATATTGTGTATATATTATATAATATATATAGTACGAACTTATAGTTATTTTATGCTATTTTAAATTTCATTGTCAAGATGTAATTCTGTAAAATAATTTGTTAACTTAAAAATATACTTTTTTACAAATACTACATTTCATTTAACTTGATTTTGTCTCTGTTTGTGTACTGTTTGAGTCAGTCTTAAAATTAATTTTTGATCTCCTGTACCATTTCAATTTTCTTAGTATTTTTTTACATATATAACTACAATACAGCATTCTATAATTATTTTGTTTCAATTCTCTCTGTTCTCCGTCTGTGTGTATGCATGTGCAATACTAAATATTTCTCAGTAATCCTTGTTTAATAGTTTATTCATTCAGTAATAATAGAAATTAATTCAGTAGTGTTTAATAATTCATTCATTCAATTTAATAGTTCATTCAGTAATCATTGGGGGATTTCAATCTTTACAGCATCAAATAGCTCAAAAAATAGTCTTCCACAAAAAACAAAAATTTCTAATGTAATTTGCTGAATTTTAACATTTTTTTCAAAAATTATTTAATTATTTTCACCTTTGTGCTGTTGTTGCATTTTTAATCTATCATCTAGCATTCTTATTATTTCAAGTGACAATGAGATTGGAACAGCTGTTTAAATTATGTGTAAATTGTATGTATATTTTTACCATTAGGTATGCCAAAATACGTTAAGAAAGATGATATCATGTGTACTGCATTGCTACTTTAATTTAAAAGATTAATTTTTTTATCTTCAGAGGGTTCAAACACTGGTGAATGTGCTGGCTGCATGGAAGTTCTTATGGTTTTCCCATATATAACATGAATGCAAACCAGTTTCTCTTAAAAAGGCATCCTCAAATGCATCTCTTCCCTTAGGCATAGTAGTTGGTCCTCATATACTCTACTATAATATCTAAGTAATCCTAAAATAATCCTACCTTTAGAGGCAGAATTTTTTCTTTCTACATTACTTTTTCAAATTGTATTATTTTATATACTGAAAAGTAAAATATACAGTAGACTCCCGATTATCTGCGGGCCGATTATCCGCGCCTGCCGCACAAAGGTTTCCCCCCCCCAAGCGTAAAGCAAAGAAAATAAAAATGTTTACAAAACTGAGAAAAACGTTTAATTTGCTAACATTGTGTTTATTTATGGCAAAAATATCTTAGGCCTTCTCGGAACCTTCCCCTCGGCCTTCTCAGAATCTTCCACTCTGATGAGTAAGTGATTTCTTACTGACCCTCGCAGTGCCCGCTCCACGCCCTCTCTCGTCTTAATCTTACTGACACGTCCACTTCCTCCCACTTGCCATTGTTAGTTTAAGCCTGATAGTGTTTGCGAACCGGTCGAAATTAATTTCTTATCTTTTATTGTGTTCAGTGCTTGTGCTTTTTGGTTTTGTGTTTTTCGTTACTGATTTAAAATGTCAGGAAAACAAAAGAAGGTTGTGTTGACGATTGCGCAAAAACTAGAATTAATTTTCAAAGTAGAAAACGGCGCTACAAGGCAGCAGATGGAATTGGATTACGGAATCGCGGAAACAACAGTGTGTGACATTCTAAAGCAAAAAGACAAACTGGTGAACTTTGCATCAATGTTGGACAGTGCTTCCACAATGAAAATGCGAAAAACTATGAAGAGTTCTACCTTTGATGAGCTAGACATGGCATTGATATAGTGGTTAGCTCAAGTTCGAAAAGAGAGTATTCCTGTAAATGGTCCTATCATTGCGGCGAAGGTCCTATCATTCCTATCATTTGAGTTGTTAGGTCTGACAGGAAATTTTGATGCGTCTTCTGGCTGATTGACTCATTTTAAGCAGCGACATGGAATTCGAGAAATTAGACTTTATGGGGAGAATTATATTAAGCGTAATAAGCTAAAATATTAAGCGTTATTTAAACATTTCCTGCTGTTTATTTTACGTTTTATTGTACATAAAACGATTTTTCAAAGTTTGAATGACTGTTTTCTTATTTGCTATACCCGTTTTTAGCTTTTTTTCAGATTATCCGCGTTTTTTGTTATCCGTGGCGGCCGCGCCACCCAATTCCGCGAATAATCGGGAGTGTACTGTATATGAAAAACTTTTTAAATTATGCAGGTTTAGTAAAATATACTAAATAGTAAAAAATGAGTTTTTTAGTTATATTCTTGGTTGTATGTGACAAAAGATAAAATGATGAGGTGCTTGGATGCAGTCATATTATAATGTTAAGATAATTCCAAGGAACACTATAAGTAGTCATGCAGAAATGGCATACAGAATGGCAACATTAAATTTTTAACTGACAATTTTGATTAAAAAATCCATCATTGTTATTCTCCCCCCACCCCACCCACTGATAGAGTTTTTAGTCATATATGACCCAGAAATATTATGACAGGTTAAAAAAAATACTTTTATTTAAACATTAAACCATGAAGCCATCTATTTTTAAAGTTTCATTCTTAGTATTAGTATGTAGTATTTGCAGTCCAAATATTTCTTGTTTTTATACCTATTATTTTGTAAGGAAAGTTATAATATTTAAAAAACTTGGAATGAATGTATATATATTATATGCACATTCTATTTCACTTCTTATACAATTTATTTTGGACCTTTTGTCTTAAATAATGTGCTTTTATAATGCTAGTGTTGTAGTAGCAGAAATTTGTGACTAACCTTCCTCGTCTGAGATCAGAAATTCATCGTGGCAACTAGGCAAGATTGTTCCTGTCATTAGCAAAGTAGCAGAAATTGGTTTACTTAATGAATAAGGGCTGTGCCAAGCAATTCTGATTTTATAATTTATTTTGAACTTCAAACTTTTCCCAAATACTATTTCATGTGTAAAAATGTGCTTGAGATTTCATTTTGATCACATGAGTGTTTCAAAACATGTTTTGAATTTTTATTTTTAATGTAATTTAATAGGTGAGCTTCTGTGAGAAAATACTTCCTTATTTAATTCATGTTGTCCTTTTACTCGATGATGAACATATCCGGGGTGCACTGTCTACTGGAATACAATCATTTTTCTCACATTTTTCCTCATGGGTACAGTCTTCATCTAGCAAAAGTTCTCAACTCTCAGGTAAGTTTGTGTTTTAATTTTTCTGCCCCCAAATACCTGTATTTGAATTAATTAATTTTCATTTATATAAGAATTCTAAACTGTTTATAATGAAATCAGGAATTTGTTGTGAATTTTGGTTAAAGCACATCATGTATGCATTTTTACAAGGAAAATATAATGAAAGTAAGTCAGGTTTGTTTAATAGTTTTTTTATCAGCAGAAACCTGAATAGTGAACCTTAAAAATGCTGTACGGCAGCTTATCAACTGCCGAGTGGTAAAGTTCATTGAACAGTCATGGTTTGACTTGAGTTCAGTTTCAGTAGAATGGACTAGCTGCATGGGCATTTTTTTTTTCATTTTACCCACGTGTATTGTGGTTACAAGCCAGCTTGTCTTAAAAAAGTCCTCCTCAAAGATATACATTCCCTTAGGCAAGTAGCCTTTGCTTGCTTTGCCTAAGGGAATGTATGCCTTTGTATTACCTCAGCTAAATCAAACTTCTGCACTGTATGAACAAGGAATTTCATAAATCATGATTATATATCATTTTTGGTTAGAAAAGCATGCTTTCAATTTTCTAATACCGAAATTATCCACACAATCAGTTTTTAGTGAATTAGATTTTCTGATTTTTTTACAAAGCCATCAAAATCACTCAATTTTAGTTAGTAGTCAAATTCTAACCTTTATTTATTTATTTAGAATTCTAACCTTTAAATTACTTGTAGTGGAGGACACTTCACTTGATGTTAATACAGTTTTTTCACATATTCAAGAAATTGTTTTATATTATTAAAATTTTTCTTTGTTTAGCCAAGTAGGAATTGACTTAATTAATTTATTTTCGATCATTAATTAAATACTTTTATTTATCCACGCAAGTTCAAATACATTTTTTTAAACTTGCAGTGAATGACTCTTTATGTTAATGCAGTTTTTTCATGTATTAAAATTTTTAAAAATTAATATGTGAAAAAACTATTTTCTATTTTTTTCTATAAAAAACTATTGCTTATTTAATAATAGCACACACTGGTATAAAAATACAAAAAAGTAAAACAATTATCATTTCTTGCCATTAAGACCCACATGCTAAAAAATAATGCTCAAATTTTCTTGCCTTAAAATTCTAGACCCAATAAAAGATGACATGTCAATACTTCTCAACTGCAGAAAATGCACCAAAGTTTGCATAGGCACTGCAAAGTGTCTTAACAAGAAATTATCACAGCCCTCCCAGGCTGCAACTATACTTTAGTCCACTCTGGTGAATCATGATCATAGCAATTATTCAACGTATGGAAGTTCTTTCTTTCGAGCTCCTAGACAGGATAAATGGATTCACTGCTGTTGTCTAATTCATGATGATATCTTGAGATGACATATCTACTCAACTGATAGCCTTAGACAGTGTGCTTCCACCAGGAAAGACTAGTAACCCCTAACACGGAAAAAATGCCCTCATTGGCATCAAGCTGCAATCATGTTAGCTTCTTTCCATTAGATGTGGGAAGGGCAGACTCTCCATAGAGAGAGGCAAGTGCTTCTGCTTCCAAATTCTCTTTAGTTTTTGAAAATCAAACCACATCTGAATGCAAAATTCATCTCACACTGAAAAAGTGTAAGGTCCATTCTGCTTATGCTGGCAAGTCTATAGAGAGGCAAACTGCTCCTCCACTCTCACACAGTTTCTTTCTGTTTTTTGTTCTCTTGAAATATCAGCCAAATTGTATTTCTGCCCTCATGCAACCTGCTAGTAAAACTCATTTTCACTGACCCCAAAATATTACAATTTGACTTCGAAACAATTAAGAATTCTGGGCCTATGCTAGTTAGAAAATATTTTCTTTTGATGAATTAGACTTTAGTCACAAATGCCATATCTACCACAATCAGGCTCATGAATTATCTAAGTTTCCACATGAAAGTCAGAGAAATTCCAGTCAACAAGAATGGAAAAAATGCTCCTCTGATCACCCTGTCATTGACAGTCGCAAAATTCCTTTACACACCCCCAGTAAAGAAACTCTGCAGTTCTGTTGTAAAAGAGCACTATATCTACAAAATTTTAAACTTCTGTCTCTGTTGAATAAAAGCCAAGCAAAAAGATGACACTAAATTACTGCTTTCTTATGTTGATTCCATATTCACAGACCCTTGTAATTTTCCCATCTAATTTTCTGTACAGGTGTTCAGAAAACTCCTGGTTCTTTCATGTATGGCCCCAAAAATGCTAAATTTTGAGAAATGCTAATGAAAAGAATAGAACTATGATACGACTGCTAGCTTTTAACTTCTAGAACTTATAGCTGCCCTAATCTAACCTATTTAATTTCAATTTAAAAAATACACACAGTTAAATTCATTAGATTGTTATTAAAATTTGTGACATTTGAAATAAAATGAATTTACATAAGTATATTATTGCTGTGAAGCTCTGTCTTGGTTCTTAATATGTTTTTTCCTTTGTCCAAATAATAGTGTTTTTTATCTCATTTTTGAACAATTTTCTTCTTATTTTTTTTTAAGCTTCTCCTTCCAATAAAGAATTTAGCAAGTCATCTGTTCAAACCATGCTTTCTGTTTTGAATCATATATGGCTGAATCCACGAGAACAGTAAGTATCCTATATAGTTTTTTTTTTTTTTTTTTCTTACATTATTAAGATGTTTACCTGGCCATCTTTAGCATAAAGGTACAAACAAGTTATTGCTGTTGAACCACTTTTTTCCTTTTAAATAATATGCAAATGTGGCAGACTGAATACATTTTTAAGATTAATTTGGGAAATTTTTGTAAAGGCATGTTTTATTTTCATCAAACCGTTTGATTGTCTTCTTGAGTACCTATCAATATGCACATTTACTATAAAAACAGCAAAATCAATTTCAGGGAAGACAGAAATTCTACTTTGAGTTTGATACATTTATTTAAATTTCACCTTGTTGTTGCTTAAAAGGAATGTTGCTTGAAAATTTGAAGGAAAATTGATAAAACTATTCTTTAATGAAATTAGAACAGTACAGAAAATAAAATTTTCCTTGTATTAATTTGTGAACTTTTAATTTTATCTTTCTGATATTTAGAAAATATGTATTTTACCATGAACATAAATTTTCATTCTCTTTATTATTATTAAAAGTATAATTAAGAGGATAGTTGCTATATAATTTTTCTGCTTGAGATTGCTTGATGATCTAGAAAGTCAGAAAGACTGTGTATAATGCATATCAAAGGTTGTATCTGATAAGCTTTTCATAATTTTACTTTATATAGTAGCTACTGTAATAAATTGTCATTAACTAGCTATTGTACGTTTTTCAATGATGAAATAATAATGGAGCATAAACTTATTTTATTATGAATATAATCAAATGTTCATTGTGATCATGGGTTGATGAAGTCACTCTGCAGAGTATGGAATACTGAAGTAAGGACTGCTTTCAGTTTGCTTTAGCAGAGGTTTTTGAGTTAAAGCTATCTCATTATTAATGTAAATAAAGAAAGTGTGTAATTTATTTAAATAAAGAATATCACAAATGCTCAATTTTAGTTTTCTGTATTTAATTACTATTTTATAAGTATTTGGTGCTAGCTAAATCATGTGAGAAATTTTACCTGAAGCCAAGAAGTAATTTTTATTTTCTATTCAAAGATTTATCATTTGATTAATGTCTAAGCACTAAGGTGTTTGAAACTGCTAATCTAGTAAAAATCATTAACTCTAACTTCAATGTTAATTAATTTTTAAGATATTCAATGACCATTGCTCTGTATTTTAAACATTTGTATGATAAATATCATCTATCAGTGTTAAATAAATTTATAGAAAATTACTGAAAGTTAAAAAATAAATGAAAAATTATTTAGTGTGTACAATTTTCATTGGTATTTTTTTTTTCCAAAAAATAATAAGAGAATTAATGTTAATTTAAAAAAATACTATTGGTAACTAAGTTTAAACTAAGCACCACCTACTATTGGTAACTAAGTTTTAACTAAGTTTAAACTACCTGTATAGTAGTATCAGATGCTATCTAAATTTTCTTATTTATGTTTAAAAAATGTTAACTTTCTTCTTGCATATATTTTGATATTAAGGTCCTCTGTAATATTATACAAAATTTTGGTTAAATTAATGTTACCATTATCTTGTTGTCCATATATATATATATTTTTTAATTTGCAAATGTTTTAGTTTTGTTGAAAGAAAAAAAAAAGGTGGTAATTAATAATAATTCATTCTTAATTTTGCATGCTTGATTATAATTTCATTGTTATTTATTTCTACAGAACTGGCAATCAGAGAAATGTTCTGAAAGATTTTTGGCTGGACCTCAATTACCTAGAAGTTGCACAGGCTGCTCAGTATTGTTCTGCTTATTTTACTGCTATACTGTATACAGAATTATGGTGTGACACAATGAGGTAATGAATTATTCTATCATGTATGAACAGTCATTTTACTTCATACTGTTCATTTTTAATTAAATTATAAAATGCATTTATTATAATTCATGTTATACAATATTATAATGTCATGTTATATATATTATAATTTATTATAATTCATTCTGAGAATAATGAAGAACTTCTATATACAAGGTGGTTAAAATTAAAACACCCCTACTCTGAGCTCTCTCTACATCGATCGAACTACTGAGTGTAGAGGTCCCAAAATTGTTGAATATACTATTCAAGACATGGAGAAACGGATTATGTGAAAAAAAATTAGTTCCAGAAACACCGATAAGTGGCGCTGTGCAATGGAAAGTATGCTGAAAAGGCATAAATAATCAAAAAAAAAAAAAAAAAAAAAGCATGAGGTATACAAATATTCCTTTTTAATTTCTATTGCTGATACGAGAAAAAAAAAGTTAACAAACTTAAACTGTCATTGTAACTGCAATTTTGCTCTCTGGCCATCTTATTCTCCAGATCTTAATCATGTAATTTTAGGTTGTGGGGTTACTTAAAAAATCTTGTTTATCGACGACGTCTGGTAACTTTGGCAGATTTGAAAGACAGTATCACTCTGCATGTGAGAAGCATCTCAATTGACCAATTACGATCCGCAGTTGAACAAGCTGTCCACAGTCTGCAGATTTTACATCTTGAAGAAGGAAACCACATTGAGCAGCTTCCCTTGCATCGATAAGGTTTTGTGATAATAATGTTTGGTACATTCGAATAAAATGTGTGATAAAGTGTATTTTGTGTCTTTTCAGCATATGTTCTGTTGTACAGCACCACCTGTCAGTGTTTCTGGAACTTTTTCTTTCTCACGTAATCCATTTCCCCATGCCTTGATTAGTATGTTTAATAATTTTGGAGCCTTTACACTTAGTACTTCGATGTACAAAGAGCTCAGAGTAGAGGTGTTTTAATTTTAAACTCCTTGTATTATATTCCTTGTATACATTGTACTCCTTGTATACATTATACAGTGGTACTTCGGTATACATTATCATTCCATTGAAAATCCTTGGGCATATACCAAATGAAATTTTCTAATAAGAAATAAAAGGAAAATGTTTAATCTTTTTTATAAAAAAAAGTCCTATTGTTTTCATTATATATAGCACTATTTAATTCTAAAATACAAAAATATATACTGTACATAAATGAAGCACATGATATTAGTAATAAGATAAACAGTTTTTTGACATGCTTGGTATTTATGTATTAATGCAACCAGGCCAAAATTCGCATAAATTGCCAAATTTGGCGACCCTACTTACGGCAACCCTACGTGTTATACGTACTTTTGTAAAAGGAGCATGTGGAGATTCACAAAATTTTCCTGCATTTTCGTGCAAATTTTTGTAATTTATAAGAAAATAGCAGTGTACATGGATAGAGTCAAGAGTGTGTGCAATGCCATTTTTGTGCAATTCTGGGATGTTTTTTAAGTAAAAATCGATGTGTACATGGTTTGGCGAAATACGGTTCAATCAGTGCTAAAGCAATAGCCAAGATTTTCCGCGAAAAAATAATTCGCAACTTATTCAAATTCGAAACCGGAAGGTTTAATTGCTATTTTATATTTTAAAACAAAATAATATAAAAAAACTGTATTAAAAATTATCTGTAATTAATAAACGTACATTTTCTTTCTATTCATACTTTTTTACTCAAACTTACAAATAGCACCAACCTGGTTGCGATAATACGTAAGTACCACATGCTTTAACATCTCTTATCTATGTTTAGTAATCCATTTAACCCTTTTTGCAACATTAGCTGATTTAATAATATCTTTGTTTTTCATGATCATAGACGCATCATATTTGGCATATGGTATGCAACAGCCGAGTCCTGGTATTCCATATTCATACTTTTCAACGATCTCTTTTTAACCTGGATAGTGATTCTAACAGTTTTCGTCATTATTTGACTCTTCTTATTAATTTTCCTAAAACTTGTTGAAAAGTCATTAAAACAAACACAAAATCATTTACAAATTAAGAGTTATAGGTTGTTTACTGAAAAAGACATACTGACACTCATGGGCAGTCATAGTATAGTCTCAAAAAAGGTAAGCAGGCACACGGTTGTTACTCATTGAACTCGAGTTGTATTCTAAACAAATATCATGTACCAAAAAAATTGTTTTGCCTCCAGACAGGTACAGTTTGAAGCAAGTCACCAGCTGTGCATCCATCTAGGCATATTAGTGTTGCCTGGCCTTGCTAACTGCTAAGCTTCTGTCTCAGAGGTAGTTCTGAAAGAGGGTTGGTCCAAGGTCTCCCAGCTCTTCTTCTCTGCTTACCAACCTCTTCGGAGGATTTTGGTTTGCCATGTATTTTGAGTGCCCTTTGCCCTACTTACAACTGCCCTACTGGTCACTTACAAACATCCTGTGGATTCGATCCCAGGCTGTTTGGTACAACATTTTGGTACAATTTGCTGAACTTAAAGAATGCATATAAATTTAAGCTCAATTTCTTTGCTTTAATTTTTTTCTTTGAAATTTTTTCTGGAAAATGTTAATCTTTTTTGTTTTTAATTATTTATTGTGGTTTTTTTTTTTTTTTTTTTTTGGGGGGGAGAACTTTTGTAATGTTTTAATTTTTATGTGTATATTTTTATTGTACCTTATATAACACAATAGCTTTTCTATATTTACCTGTTAATTTTTTAATTGTTTCTCAGATATTTTCCATTAAAATTTCCAGAAATTAATTGTGTTTTTCTTCATCTAATTCAGTATTATAGTTGTTCACACTAATAATATGTTTAGTCTTATGATTCTGGAATTTAATTTTTTAGCAATTGATAATTTTGTCCTTTTTAATTATGATTTTATAATCTTTAAAAATTAATTACTGCTTTAAAGCTATAAATTTTAAATTAATTTCATTGCATAGTGTCATTTTTTTTTCATTTATTATATATTATTATTAGCCCAGAAGAGCTATTACTCTCAAAACAGCATTTTGTGTTGAATTGCTTTAAATGTCCGAATCACTTTTCAAATTGTTGCCACCAAATATTATCACCCAGTATTATAGTTAAAGAAACTAAATTATGAAGAATTAACTTAAATGTATGTATGTTTCTGGCAATAAAAAAAAAACAATAACTAGAGTCATTAAATTTTGAATAGCTTAGTGCTGCACCTGAACATCATGGCCACCCGTAACCCCAAATTGGAATTTTGAATTTGTTTTATTGTCTATTTCATACTTTGTAAAATTTTAACGAATTTTTTATTAAAAACTCAACAATTTCAAAGCAAGCAGTAGCAATCCTGTAGGGAATAAAACATTTTTATCTCCAGTGCATGAGACTGTCTTTTGGAAATTCTAAAGACATGCTGTTTTTAAATATTTTTAGCAAATTGTGGTGTTAGCCCAGATGCTCTCGAAATGTGTATGTGTCTGTAAATGAAAAAAACGCCCATTTGGGCATAATATAAAATCTGAAAGCTTTCAGACTTTTTAAGTCATTTTTTAATTATTATTATTATAGAGAAAAATCAAGAATAAAGGATCAATTAAGTGACTATTCAGATTCAGGAAGCCTGGAAAGCTCTCCTTTGTCATTTATTGGATCTCGGGATAGAGAAAAAGCTTCTTTGGTATATGACATTCTCCTTGATGCATATTCAAGTATTGGAGATATGGATGCAGTAAGTGGCTGTGAAGTAGTTGCTACAGATAGTCAGTCAATTTTAAAACATAGTTACTTGATTGAGAAGAAGTGGGATGGCCTTCTGAAGATAAATGATCAGAATAATTCACACATTGAAATACTACAGGTAAAACAAAAGTGTTATTAATTTTCATAAAGCTTTAAGTTTATGTTAAGTTTGTTGTTATTTCAAGCTTACTCAGTAATCAAATAACTTGCACTGTAGCTTGACAAATGGTATTAGTTTTCATAATTCATTTTCCTCTTTCATCTTTTGGATATTCATTTCAAAGTAATTCTGATAAAAATAAAATACTCCCCTTTTTTTAAAATTTATTGTATAATGCTTCTCACTATTTTGGCTATAATAAAATGTCGAATAACCTAGTGAACTAAGTACCGACTTATTGCTGAGTTCAAGTACTTACAATGGAGACTCGAGATACAAGGTTAGATGTAGACTCGAGATTACTTACAATGTAGGGTTAAATTACCCTTTTATTCACTCAAAGACATAATACAGGGGGCCCCTTCTTGAGTTTACAGGAAAGCCTCCACTCGGACTTTTAGATCAGGATAAGGAAATAAGAAACTAATAGACTTAGCCAAATTTAGATGCAAATACTAACATAATTGGCCTTTAATTTAAACTAGGCGGCGAATATCAACAGGCACATATAATACGACCGAGTGTAAGAGTTTCAAGAATGAAATAGCCAGAAGGCAACACATGCCTTTAAGGACTCCTAAGCACTCTCTTTCTTTAAATACTATTTCTAACTCATCTGCATTCAATGCAATTCTATAAACTCATTCTGGTAGGGTGTTGTCAGTGGGAAACAAGAATTGAAAGGAAAGAGTTTCAAAATTAAAACAATTATAAAATTAAAATAAACCTTACAACTGAATTAGATTTTGTTTTGTGATTTAAATGAAAATAAAAGTTTTAAAAGAATTTTGAATTTATGTGTTTGGTACAAAAATTATTCAAAAATAATAATGCAGTCAAAATGATGTTTATACAATTGAACATTTCCATTTTTATGAAAAACAAGTCTGACTTTGGGTTATTTGAAATAGCTCTGCTTCAATTAATTTGATAAAAAGAGATTTTAATGTATTTATTAAATATACGTTTGATACCTGTGCAGTAATAATTTTTTATTCTTCTTGTTAGCATCTTTTTGGGCAAATGCAAGGTTGCAAATGTTACTTTAAACTTTGTTTTTCCCATAAAAGTATTTAGTTATCTTATCCTCTTAAACAATTTTGCACAGTTATAATTTTTCAGTTTACAGTGTAAAATTACTTCAGCTAACTGAAGATTATTAACTTTAAGAAAAGTTATTTACAGCCATTATTAAGTATCAATGCAATCATTCATTCTATTATATAGTTCTTCTAATTTATAGTAAAATCTCAAATATTTTTCTTTTGTTTTTAATTTAATTTTTTTTAGTTGTAAATTCATTAAAAAATTTTCCTGCACAAAAGTTCTTTGTATTAAATCATTTGCTAATTTTTTTTTAAACAACTTTGTAGTAAATATGCATATAATGCATTATTAAAGTATTGTTTATTTTGATTTGTGATAAGTAAAATAGCTTAAATTTTCTGACATCTCATTTTAATTTTAAAAAGAAAATTAAAGAATGTCTATTTTACATTTTTTCTATGCGTGCATTGTTTAATTTTCTTAAGTATAAATGTGCATGCTGAGCAAGAAGAGAAAATAGTTTGTAATCCTTTATGAAAAACTGAAAGTATTCCTTGTTTGTTAACCAAAAATGTTTACCAAGAATAATTAAATTACAGTTTACGTTCCCATTTGTAACAGTTTTTAAAAGTGAGATTATTTGTAAGCAAATACAAAATATTTTATATTTTTTTCTGATAACCTTGTTGGTATTAAAGAAACCTTTAGTCAATAGCATGCTGTGATGAAATATCTTTTTTAATGCAAATCTTTTTCTAAGTAAGTTGAAATTAAAAGGCTAAATATTTGGTGTATGTAATTTACAGGCACTTCAGCAAAATGGACTGCATTCTGTACTCCAGGGCTATATCCAGTCTTTATTATTAAATGGAAACCCTGCTGAAATGTCTACAATTTTAGATTATCAGTGCGAGAGTGCCTGGAGGTTAGGGCATTGGAACTTACCTCTTATGGAAAGGTTAGTTTGTTTAATAATTAAAATTTTCTTTGAACAGAATCTGCAACTCTTTTTTGTTGTTCATAAGAATAAGATCTTAGATGCATTCAGACATTATATGAAATTGAAGGTTAAATAATATTGCTATATAGAGAAATTATAGTGTTTTGATTACAGAAACGGGAAAGTGAATTTTCACTTTGTAATAATCTCTTATTACTTTTTTAATTAGTATCAAAAGTTGTTTTGTAAAGAAAATTTCTTTTATTCATTTGTGTTAGAAGTGGAGTTGGGGAGAGAGTAAAAAATTACCTAATATCACTTAGTTACTCCCTTTGCCTCCCAAAATTGGTACTTACATATTAACACAAAATTGTCATCAGAATGTGCCAAACTCAATCAATGGCAATCATGCTCATAACAGTTGTTCAGTCAAGCATTGTTGCCATTTATATGTGTGTTCCATTTTTGTTGTATTCCAAGTTCCAGCAGTTATTATAAACAAATCAGGATATTTTTTGCCTTAAAGTTAGTTTTAAAATATGAGTTTGTGGAATTTGCTATCAGTGAAAGAAACTGTGGTAAAATTTCTGCAGGAATACAGATTTTTGCTGAAAATTTTCTAAAGGGAATAATGAAGAAATGCATTTCCTTGATAGCCGTTGTTGCCGAGGGTTGCACGAAGGCGAGCCCCCACAGTTTTGTAATTTTTTTAAAGTGAAATCAGATCATTGTATACTTTGAGAGAAGAACCACACCAAAAAATTACAGAAAGATTTGAAGAAGAATGGATTATATTTTTTAATGTGTTACATAATCCTTATTTAATTAATTCAAATTTGCATTTTAATTTGCTGCAGTATTTTTTTTTTTTTTCATATGTTGATAATGTTTACTGATAAATGTCAATAATTTGGAAACCTTCCCCCCAAAAAATGTGAAAAACGCCAACTTCCGATAAGTCATTTTTACTTTCCCTCTGTAAAAAAATGCCAGATTGCACCAAGGTGGTTGCATTAATATGTAAGTACCAAAAATATTGTTAACTGTACAAAATCTATTGTAAAAATGGATAAATTCGTAATGATGCATGCATATAATGTTTTACTCAAGAACAAATTCAGTTTTGTGTTGCTTCTCTAAAAGAGTAAACTTAAATTACAATCATTAGATAAGCCTGTATCATGTTTTGAGCAAAACCTGCTGTCAGCTATGTTTTAGACAATTAGTTGCCATTTTTATTCTTTAGTTTATAATGTTATGTTTAGCAGTCATCCACCTTCCATCATCTGTAAAGTCTAAAAGAGTTAGAGTATGTTCCTGAGTCATGAGGGGGATATTATAATGACCACAAATAATAACAGTTGATCAAGATACCTATAGTCTTATAAATTTCATGCACTTTTTAATCATTTCATCACATATCATGAATTGTTTGATAAATTCTGTCATAATAATCTTAACAAGGTGACCAAAAAAATCAACATTATTTGTACTTATTGAACCAAATCAAAAATCACTAAACTTGTAAATCACTCAAACTTAGCCTAATTTTCAGACTGACCATATCTATCAAACCTAGTAATTTCTGCTTATTTTTTCTTCTTAAAAAGTAATATTTTATCAATTTATGGAATTATCAATATAACTTTTGCAGTCAATTGTCAATTTTGCAGTGTAGCAGAGCTGACTGACTAAAATGGCTGTTAATCGCATACTAGACATCAAATTTATATACAGTATGTCGTGAGTGCATTTACAATATGCTAGATGTGAGCCCACCACCAATTTCAGTGGGTGATGCCATCTCTCAGTTTTCATGCATACGTATCAATTTTAATTAACAGACCGTCTAATTACATTTCGTGCAAGTGTTATTATCTGGTCTAGTACTTAATACAGCTAGAGTTTTTGGAAATGAGCACATATTGCTTATGATAATTAAATAATTTAGGCATTGAATTCAATTATATAATTTAGACATTTTATGATAATTAAATAATTTAGACATTGAATTGAGAATGTATTGCTCACGATACTTCAGACATTTAATTGTATAATAAAATTCATGGTTAGAAATTCTCTGTCCTTTAGTAAGTCATGATTAGAAGATTAATAAGAAAATTCCAAGATGTTTAGTATATATGCTGCATATATTTGCAAAGAAATTGAAAACCATAAGATGAAATATATGAAACCTATTCATATTGTAATTTTATCCAAAATTTTAGCATTTTTATTGTTTAAATTTTTTTTTACCTTTCCAATTATTAAGATGTGATTAAAATTTATAAATTTTTTGTTCTAAATGCTTTTTTTTAATTAAATTTTTGCTCTATACTTAACAAGATTTTTTTTATCATAGCCCACAAGATGGTTTTGAAGAGCATGGTTTTCAAGAATATCTGTATAAAAGTCAACAGAATTTCATTGCAGAAAATAAACCAGTATTTGATAAGTACTTAAATTTAGCTCGGTAAGTTATATTTCATGATGTAAAAAGTTTTGAGAAATTATATGCGGAGATCACTGTGAAATTTTTTAGATATGCACAGACAATAAGTGGCAGCAAAAAATTAACAGTTGGATTTGAAAATATAAACCATTTTAGCGTAGCAAATGATTTTTTACTGGTGTGTAGCAAGTAGTTTAGTGTAGAATAAATTTTAAGCGGAAGGAAAAATGGAGTTGATGTGAGAACATTATCATGCTATGATTTTAGAGTGAGATTAAATCAAGAAGAATGTGTTCAATGTCTGCAATTCCCATGTGGAAAGGAAGGTCCATCTCATACTACTGTATTCAGATGGTTTACAGAATTTCACAGAGGTTGCAATTTCCTTCAGGATAAGAACACATGTGGAAGGACATTGTCAACAGTAATCCCCGATAATGTGTCTACCATATGGAAAATGTTAATTGATGATAATTGCTACCAAATGTTACAGAAGGAACTTAACATTGGATCTGCCATCATACATAAAATTATTCATGAAAACTTGCATATGAAAAACTTAGTTTGCCACTTTTCCCCCCATAATTTAACTGAGCATCAAAAAGAGAAGCATATCAGAATCAGTAAAGAAATCTTCAAGTTACTTAAAGATGATGGCCAGTACATTATTTCTAAAATTGTAACTGGTGATGAAACAGACATACCATTTTTTGACATTCCAACACATGACAAATGACAAGACATGGGTCTTGGAAGATGATCCCACACCCACAATCGTGAAAAGAGAATGTGCCATGAAAAAAGTAATGTATGCTGTTTTCTTCAGAAGTTCAGGATTTGTCAAAGCCATTAGCTGTAAAGATAGAAGACAAACACAGCTAATTGGTACACCACTAAGTGTCTTCCAGAAATTATTCAAGAAGTGAATGTTAGAGGATTTATGCTTCATCATAACAATGCATTTTCTCATTCAGCAACATTGACAGTTGAGTTTCTTGAACAAAAACACATCAAAGGGATAGAATATCCATGCTATTCACCCGATATAGCTATGTTTGACTTTTGGTTATTTTTTAATTTATGTGAATGCCGATTTCATTCCAAAGATGAAACTGAAGAAGCTATAAATGTATTTTTTTTCCATCGATTCCAAAAAATGAATGGCCTGAGGCATTTAATCTTTGGAAAATTTGTCTACAGAAATGCATTGATGCTGGAGGAGACTAATTTGAGCACTTCTAAAATTTCGTAATTATAACTTTAAAAACCTATGTGTATTGCAAAAATTTCAGAGTGACCCTTGTCTTGTACATATTTTGGCATGAAAGCAGTGCATCAGCACATTCTGATGTTATAGTGGATGTGAAATGAAAAGTTTGTTGTGCATTATAATCAGTCAAGTTTCTGAGATTATGGTTATTAACAAGCCCAGTAAGATGGATTGACACTGTGACAACAAATGGAATTTCATCATTGTGTTCTAACTAGACCGTAGATATTTCAGTGTCATCAAATTTTTTCAGGAATTGGCAACAGAAATCATAATACTTCATGATAAACATGATAAGAAATCATAATACTTCATGATAAGCTTAAAAAAATTCTATTTTTAATATTTATGAAATCGAAGGCTTTTCCAAATAGCTTTCTAGATAGCTGACTTTGGAATGCTGAGTTTCCAGCTTGCTTGCCATACAGCATTTTGTTAAATACTGAATTCCATTAATGATATCCACTGTAAGAGTTTTTTTTTTTTCTTTTGGTCTGCATATCAAAAGAGTCACTTTAGTTGTTTTGTGTAATAAAATGTTGACACCAAAAAGACATTTTGCAGAATATAAAATAGGTATTATAATTTTTTTTAGAATATGCTGAAGTTTAAGAAAAATGAATTATTCTTATTTCCTGTTTATGTATATATGTATTTTCTTCCAGTGAAACACAGTTTGAATGCCTAAGCAGTACAAGTTTGGAATCACCAAGAAATATTCTTCCAGTCCTTAGTCATATCCAAATGCTTTCTGTCTTAGAAGAATTTTCTGAAGCATATTTAGAGTAAGATTTAATTATCATGTTTTAAGTACTTCATAAAAAAATTGAGTACTTATGGAAAATCCTGTTGACCATTTTTGCCTATTAAAGGAAAGATGCCAAACGCGATTTTTCACCAAAAATAGAAAAATCTTCTTCAAACACGCTGGCTTTGGTGTAACCTTGATTACACGTGTTAGTTATTATTCTTAAGTAAAGACTCCTTCCCCCCATCACACATTTTCGGGGGGGAAGATGATTAAAATTTAGGACCTGCCTGCTACAGCAGAGCATGCTGTTCCATATTTCTAAATTTATGGAATCCTATTGGCCTAAAAAATAGTGTTAATGGACATGAAATGGCACTTTTTTTAAAAAAAGGAGAAGCAATGGTATTGCTTCTCGTTTATTAAGGCTTGAGCAAAGCGAGTGTCAATTCAAAAGGGAATGTGGTTTGAGGGTTCTACTATTTCTTTTTTGACTGCACTCTGATTCATTTATAGTTCGTGCAGAGAACTGATGATTATTGAATGGGGAAAAGAGGAATTGGAATTAAATGACAAGACTGTTATAAATTGGAATAATTACCTGAGAGGAGTTTGTGCACACAGCCTTTTATCAAGGCCATAAATTTAAAAGAAAAATGAGAATAGAAGTCCCCCCCCCCGTATTTAATTTTGTTTTGTTTTGTTTTGTTTATCGCGATTGGTGCCTTCTTTTGTGATTGACAGGATTTTTCCATAAGTACCAAAAATTATTATGTTAGAATGTATATTATAATAACAAAAAATTCACTGTATCTGAGTGGTTTACAAAAATGATACTTTAGACACTCAAACCAACAGATACAGAATAACATTCAAGTAGTTATATGTTGGGGTACATTCAAGTAGTTATAATTAAATTAGGGAAAATTCAGCTTCAGATTGAAATTGGTTTTAAGTAAAATGTTCTGCCTTTCAAGTGATGAACTCATGTGAATCTCTCTTGATCAGTTAGCAGTATTCTGCCATGCTGTCATAGTTGCATCATTTTAAAAACATGCATGTATGGTTTTAAAATTAATTGGTGCCGTACATTGTATTTCATGAGCTAAGGAAATTCTAAACAAAGAAAAAATGGCTATTAAAAGAAATTTTGAAGTGATTATGGAAGGGATTTTGAAATGCAAAAATATGCAAAAGTCAAAAGATTTTGATTTTAAAAAAAGGCCAATTCATTAATTTAAGTTATAAAGATATACTAGCAAAAGTTTATACCCAATTGCAGAAGGACTTGCACACTGCTGAAACTGCTTTGATTATTTATTTAGTATCCGTTGCAGTGAAAGGTTGAATTTTACATAATTTTATCTATTAGTAATTTTATCATATCACATGTTTAAAACTTTACTCCAAAAAATACTGACTTTTAAAATCATAGTTTATAAGTCATTATGTTATTTTATAATATCCTCTTACGGAAAGCTCTAATGAGTAATTCTATAAAAAAAAAACTGCAGGCAAATTTATGTGGAATTCATTTTCCTTCATTTCCATAAGCTTAATGTTTTTATATTATAGATAGTTTAAATATATTATTCTTGAACAATTTCCTTAACAGATTTGTCTTGGATCTTCCTTAAGAGTGCTGTTGATTTTAACCAAATCCTGAAGACTCTGATGTTTTCCTTCAGTATCATCAGAATAAACTTTATTACTGATATAGTTTATTGTTCAGTATATGAGTTGACAATTGAGCTGTGATTAATTCTGTACACTTCTGGTATTGATTTTGGCATAGAAACAATAACCCTTTAGCAGTTAAATTTAATTGTGACATGTTTCATATATGCAACATGAATTTTCTGTAGATTTTCTTAACAGTGAAGAAGCCTAGTTTAACTTCAGGCAATCTGAAGCAGAACCAAACATTACACAATGCATTACTAGATATGTAATTTAAATAAGTTTTTTTGCCTGTATATGATTTTTAATTTTTATTGTAATCTCAATGTCCTTATTTTTGTGTTCAAGGTAGTTATTTGGAATGTAATATGAATGTTGTATAGATTTTAAGTAATTTCTTCATTTACATTTTCGTTGAAAGTTTAAAAAATAATTTAATATTTTTTTAGTGCTCAAGCATTAAAGAATCTGCTAAATAAATGGCAATTTCAGGATCAAATAGCATACGATGATTTTGAATATGTAGAACCTGTCTCATGGTTAAAATGCAGGTTATTGACTCACTGTGTGTGCTCTAACCAAAATAAGCCTACCATCCTTCCCAAGCTTAAAAAGCTTTTAGAAAAACATGCTGTTATAGCAAGAAAAGAACTTTTCTTAGAGGTAATATAATAATTATGTATCTATTATTATTATTGATTCTAATTTTATAAAAAGTTATGTTTGTGTTCCTTTCATTATAAATTCCTAATATACTTTTTATATCGATATGCATAAAAATATTGTATGAAAGCTATGTAGAAAAGGAAGATAATGTGATTTTTAAGTTATTTTTCTTAAGCTGTGTATTATTTTGCTGTTATTTATTAGCTCAAAGGGGTGATTTGCCCAGAAGCGCTATTTGTTTCATTTTGGGATTTCGCATTAATTCACTATAATCAGCGAATCATTTTTTTAATTTGTTGCCACCAAATGTTAGAGCTCTTTATTATATTTAAAGAAGTTAAATAATGAAGAAGCTGCATAAATGTGTGCATGTTTCTGGCATTGTAATAAAACAACCTAATATAGACTCATTACATTTTGAATAATGTACGTTTCCACCTGAATATGGGCATCTGGAAGACAATTTCGGAATTTGTTTTATGATCTATTTCATATTTTGCAAAGCCTTTATCAGTTTTTCATTAAGAAACTCAACAATTTCAAACCAAGCAATGTCAATACTGTACCAGGGGGGGGATATTTTTATCTCCAGTACATGAGACTGTGTATTGGATCTTCTAAATATATATGCCTTTTTAAATATTTTGTGATATTGCTGTTGAGTTGAATTTTGGGGTTTAAGTGTGAAGAACATGGTATTTAATAGATAAAAGTAACACACGAGACATTAAAAAAATGCCCCTTTGGGCGTAATATAAAATCTGAAAGCTTTCAGTTTATTATTATTATATTTATTTCCTTATTTTTTTTTAATCTGGAAACTTGACAGATAAATGCTTTAAATGATAAACTTCCTTTGAGTATATATTGTATATCCTAATCATTTTTTAGTATTCTTATACACATATAAAATTCCATTTTGCATTTAATAATCTTCTAGGTTGCATCTAGTGCCGTAAATGCTCTCAGGAAATTGCCTTGTGTGGAGGACGACGATATAGTAAGGTGGCAAATAGAAGAAGCTAAAATTCTTTGGACCAAGAAAGAATATAGCATAGCTAGTAAAATATTGAAATCTACTCTACACCGTATGGAAAAAGTATGTTTTTTGCAATGACATTAATACTATTTTTAAATTTTATATTCAGTTTTTATAAAATAATAGATGACTAACAAATGCTTTGTCTTAGCTTACTCATTAGTGCTTTAGTCAGCAGATTAAAAAACTAGTTATTGAACTGCTGTGCAATAATAGCTTCTTAATTTTATTGAATTTTGAAACCTCTAAACTGCTGTAATATAGTGCAAAATTGTGTTATTTTCAGCATTGACCTTTTAAAAAGTTAAACAACTAGTATTTATATTATAACAACATACTTTTGCAACTTAAATACCACATATTTATTGTCAGCATTGTAAAAAGGTTGCATTGCTTATGTATGGAGATTGCTGAAGTTTCTTTCATGCAGTCGTGACTATATATTTCACACCTCCCCCCCTTTTTTTTTTCTTTTTTTCCCTGCATCCCTTTTTACTTCCTTGTACAATGTAAATGAAGTATTGTAATGGCGAAAAATTTTGGATATCATATTTTAATGAAAATATCCATTTTGACCACTATTCAATGCATTTTAACAATGTTTTTGCATAACATCTGTATGTAAGAACAAAATAAAGGACACTATTTTCCCGAACGAATTATAAAATTGATTTGAAATATAGATTGAGTAGAGATTTTTTCATGACGGCTGTACGCATATATGTATGTGCATAAGATTGCTGAAGTTTTTTTCATGCAGTCGTGACTTACCTCCTCTCTTTTTTTTCCTCCTTCCCCCCCCCTTGCATCCCTTTTTACTTCCTTGTACAAAGTAAATGAAGTATTGTAATGGCAAAAAATTTCGGGTATTTAGATTCAATAGAGATTTTTTCATGCTGGCTGTATGTACATATGTATGTACCTCGCATAACTCAAAAATGATTAGCCTCGGAATGTTGAAATTTTGTGTATAGGACTGCTATAATGTGCAGTTGTGCACCTCCCTTTTTGGTTGCAATCAGCTGCACCAAAAGTATATAAACATATATATATATATATATATTCATACTATTACTCAGTTCAGTGAGTCCAGTTTTTTTTTTTTTTTTTTTTTTTTTTTTTTTTTTTTTTTTTTTTATTCTTATATGATGGTAAATTGTGTATTTTTTTTACTTTAAAAATGATTTAATTATGTTGTTCTTATTTTCCAGTTAAGTTTTTTATGCATGTAGTTAATCTGCATGCAGTATTTGTAGAATTGTCAACAATTTAAAAATTGTTAAAGTGCAGCTAAGCCTAATTTTTGCTTACTATAGCAGCCATATTTGTTAACATTTGAAACTTAGCAGAATAGTGGGTTCAACTTCTACACCTTCAGTGTCTTTTTGCCGAGTGGTACCAAAATTAATTTTTCATTTTTTTGTGCACCAAAAAAACTGCCTTGTTGCCTGATGACTGAATTGCTTGTTTTTGCATAGGAACTCTAATTTTAATTGTAAAAAATGTTTGTTTTAACTTTATTTGGTGTTTTAGTTTTTTCTATATTTTTCAATTTTTAAAGAAGATATTTTAAGTTTTTATGTATTTTTGCGTTGCCCTGAACTAAAAACAGAATTAATTTAATGAGAAATGTATCTCTAATGAAATTTGAGGAAATAAGCTTAAGTGAAATGCAGTGAAAAGCACATATAATTTAATATTCCATACAAGGAAGTCATGTGGTCATCAGATTTTTTTAATTTTCTTTGACAAGTTTTTATGTTATTATTTTTTTTCTGCTTGTTAACTGCCATTTCATAAATAAAAAGATACAAACTATCTCTTATTGCTAAATGTGGCAGTTATTGGGCACTGCTTAACAACGAGGAGATGTGTGGACATTAAAATAAAAAAAAATTCTATTGGAATTGTTGCTACATGTTGTCATATTCTGTCTGTAATAACACTGGATTATCTGTGTATACCACTGACTTCAGGTAACCTCATAATCAGAAATTAGAATATTTTAGTCTACATACCTATGTGACCATACAGAAATTGATGTCTTATTACTCCAGCTGAGACAATGAAGCATTGAAATAATACTTCATCCTGAATGAGCATTACAAAATCTAATGCCTAGCTTTCTTCAAAATTGGCAAAATCAGTTCTACATTATGTTGGTTTTGTATAGTGATTTGTGGGGGGGGGAGTTTTTTAAGTGGTGATATTATTACTGTTTAACTGAAATTATTTAGAAACTATTAATAAATTGAAAAGGTTTTGATGATTGCTATACACTTAAAGAAATTCTTAAAGAATTCTTTGATGGTTTGTTTAAAGGGAAAGTGGGTAAAATGTTTGAGAGATAACTCTGATTAGAATCATTAGATGTGTGATCATTACTTTCAAAAAAGGACAATGAAACATTGAAATAATATTCTATCCTGAAGGAGCGTTACAAAATCTAATGCCTGGCTTCCTTCAACATCAGCAAAATCAATTCTACATTATGTTGATTTTGTATAGTGATTTGTTAAAAGAAATAGGCATTTTGAATGGTGATATTATTACTGTTTAACTGAAATCATTCAGAAAATATTAATAAATTCAAAAGGTTTTGATGACTGTTATACACTTAAGAAATTCTTAAGGAAGCTTCCATGATGGTTTGTTTAAAGGGAAAGTGGGTAAAATGTTTGAGAGAACTCTGATTATAATCATTAGATGTGTGCTCACTACTTTCAAAAAAGGAACTATATCTCAAGAATGAAAAATTTTAAAATTGAAATTTTCAAGTTGAAAAATTTTATCAATGATTGTTGTTGTGAAAGTTTTTTTTTTTTTTTTTTTTTTTTTTTTTGTAAAGTTTTACAAGGCTTGTCTACTGTGTTTCAGATTGTGATGCAGAAATTTTATATGGATGTAAATTGACTAAAAAAATATTAAAATAAAATAAAATTCTTCCTGAATAAAATGCTGTTGTGGAAAATAATCATGGATTATGTATTTTTCAAAATCTTTTAACTGCTCACTATTAACAAATAATAATAAAATCTGTAGTAAGAAAAATTGAGTGCAGCGAGTGGACTAATAAAATATAATAAGAATACCAATCTTTGAAGATCCAAAAATTAATAAAATTTTACTGAATTAAACTACAGGATATAAGATAATTTTTTTATTGCCAATTGAGAAACAAAGCAAATCTTCTCTTCAGACTTAAATTTTAATATTCTATAATTCATGACATGACATTCAATTCATTATATCTTTCAGATTGCTAAAGAAAATTCAAACATTTTAATGTGCTATGGAGAAGCACTTACTCTTAGAGGAAGATGGTTGGCTGAAACTTGTAATGAAAATTCTGTTGTCATCATGCAAGAATATTTGGAAAAGGTAATGATTATAAGTACTAATTTTGTAAAAAAGTTTAATTTCTGTATTCAGCTAACATACTGAATTTTGTTATGATTGTTAATGATATTTTTTAAAAAACCTAATTCGTAAGCTATGTTTTAATATATTTTGTATATGAGTTTCGGGGAAATAATTTTGAAAAAATGGTTTGTATGCTGAGTGCTGTTCTTTAATTTAAATTTAATGTCATTCACTGGTGTTTGAAACAATAGCTTTATAGATGAAGTAGTTGATGTAATTGATTACTTTACTGAAGAAGTGTACTTTCTTGTTTTTTGTGTAGCATTTATAATGTTAATTAATTATTCTTCCGTCTAAATTTCAGTTAAGAATTAAAATTATTTCTTCTTTGCATGAAAGAATGAAGTGTTATTTGGTATATGCAGCATAAATGTGCCAACATTATTATCATTAAGAATGCAATATATGTCTTAGGATTTCAAAAATTCATACCCCTTCTTAAGGATTGTTATGATAATCTTCTTAAGGAATTCATGTCCCTTCTTAAGGATTGTTAGATTCTTTTCATATCTACCTGAAGTGAGTTTTTGGCTAATAGTAATCTGCTCTAATCCTGAATAAGTACCATGACTACAGATATGAAGCTTGATTCGCGCGCACAACAAGAAAGCATTTATTTAAGATGAGCAATTCATGTTCCTGTCTTTATATGCCAGACTATTCTTTCCCACTAATCAAAAACATAATCATACATTCTCTGTGCATAGTGCAATTTTTTGTAAAAATTCTTTCTCAAATTATCAATTCTCTACACATCCCCCCTCCAGGATGATAAACTAGGTTCATCATAACTCAAATTTTCATATATTCTAGTAGCACATGATTAATATTCTAGTTATTGCCTAAATCTAATAAACTTTAGAGCTTAATCCAATGAATAGGAAATTATGCAAGACTTTGTTAAATATCTTCTTTAAAAATTTGCAAAATAATAATATAAGTATAAAAGTAGTACATTACACTTACACATAATACAAAATTATAGTATTCAAATATTCAATAACAAATTCACAAATGAATTAACAGTGACACTAATAAATTCGTATAAAGCCTAGAAATTTAATCACAGTCCTTTTACAGTCAGTCATAAAGCACTTCAGTCGTGTATTTCAATTGGGTGCAGAAGTTGGACTGGTCTCTGCTGAATTGTTCCATCTTTAGTTTTAATACTATAAGCTTGTACCTATTTGTCACAGCCGGGGAAAGCTTCAATGATCTTACCCATTTTACCCAATTACATCATACCCAATTACAAGTTTCTGGGAAAATGTTCATTGGCTATCAAAACCAGGTCATTAATTTTGAAATTTTGGCCTTCTTTCAATTCTGCACTGTGTGCGCTGATCGTAGGTTCGTAAGATACTCAGATTTTCATCTCTTCCAGAATAAATTCAGTAAGTTTTCTTTGTAATTAAAATATTTCAATAAAATATCTTTGTTTGAAAAGTCTGAATTACTCAGCTTTACATAAGGTAAACTCAAAATTCTTATGCAAAGTAAAAAGTGTAGAGATCTTAAGGGAAATGGTTCTACTACCTTTGAATAGATCCCTCAGTTTCCATCAGAACTATCTGTAATTCTTTCACAGTCAATGATGATTTTCCAGTTGCTTCTTGCAAACTTCTTTTTACTGATCTGACCATCCTTTCATAAAATCCACTCCACCATGTTCCTCTTTATAAGATGCCTTTCCATTTATTGGAAGGAAAAATATTCCTTTATATCAGGGTGATTAATAAGTCTCCATATTTTGTGCAAGTCCACTTCAATCATTTAAATATTTAAGCATTGTCTTTGTAGGTGATGGAGTGCAGATCTCTTCTGGATAAAAATCATCTGAAAGCGAGCATGAGTTCTTCTGTTGTCATATTTGGAACTAATTCGATATGAATTGCTGACATAACAGAACAGTTAAAAGTATATAAAATTTACTGTGACTGTTCTTCTCAAGAGCAGAAGAGCAAAGTATGTTCCCATTATTGCAAAAGGTGGTGATTCAATATTGCAATTCTGTCAGCTGGCATCTGCATTCCTGGATGAGCATTATAACATTAACACATTTTGCATGTTTTTAAAACAAACTGTATGCAATGGCTGCCTCTTATAACCCAAAATCTTTCTCGAGTGGGGACTAGCATATCGGAAATTGCCGCATGTTATACCTTCTCTTGAGCATCTTTAAGTTTAGTAAATCTGTGCTTTGCAAGCAATAACGCTGGACATCTTTTATAAAACTTCATCTTTGATTCTTCTAATCTCCCACCAACTACAATAATTTCTTTCTAATCTAAAATTCGGTTCAACTAAAGCTCGGCTCTTTCGGAATGCATTTTCTTTCTTTTAGATTCTTTAATTCTTCTGGAAAATTTTCTTTCTGTGCTCTCTTGATCTAGTAGGTTTCTGCATCAGAAATTTCACTTAATTCAACTTTTATTCTATTACACTTATTTCACTTTCACTTAATTCAGCTTGTATTATATCATCTTTGTTTTTGCTTCTCTCGTTTTTTGCTTGAATCTAGGAGGTAATTCTTCTCTTTCTTATTTTCATTAAGTGTCATGTTCACTGATATTTTAAACTTATGATCTTCTCTCTCCATAGTCAAAGGAACAATTTCAATTTTCCTGCAAATCCATTTTTTTTAAAACTTTTTTTAGTCAGTTTAGGTCCTCAAAACCATTTTTCATAGTTTATTAAATCTGCTGCTCTGCACTCTCTTGGTATTGTGTCTGCTGGATTATCTCAACTGCTGCAATGTGTCCAATTCAATGGATTGGATATTTCTTGAATTTTAGTAACTGTATTTGCGACGAAAGACGTCCACTGTTTAGCATGTCCGCTGATCCAGCAGAGAGCTACTGTGAGTTCAGTCCATAAGAAGTAATTATTCTTTGTGTGAAAAATGAGTTTTAAGAAGTTGAGTATTCTTTCTACAGTTAATGTTGCCATCAACCTAATTGTGGCAAAGTTAACTTCTTCACTTGTGTTACCCTGGATTTAGATGTTACTAAGCTGACTTCAAAATTTTTATCTGAAGTTTTGTATCAAACATATGTAATGGCTCCGTATGCTGATTCACTAGTGTCAGCAAAAATATTTAATTGGGATTTGGTAGGATCTGCTTTGAACCAACATTTAGATAAAGTTTCCAATTTAGAAATGAGCCTACTCCAGTTCTCTCCTTCAACTTTCAAATCCTCACTTGACTCTTCATCCCATCCTATATACTTTTCTCCCATGATGCTTAAAATAGAATTTTCACATTTTTTACAAATGGTATAATTAATCCTGTAAGGTTACAAATTTTTCTTGCTAATTTCAAAATGCTTTCTTTTGTGTTCTTTCTATCCTCTAACATGGCAAAATGGAAGAAATATCAAAAGTAAATTCATCTATTTTCATTTTCTAAACGGTACCCAATACCTTCAGTGGTACTATACAGTTTTTAGAAAATGAACAATTTTCAAATTCTGTATCATTCCATATTTTTAAAAGCTCCTTTGAATTAGTTTATCATTTTCTCGGATTCACAGCTGCCTCTAATAAGATGAATTTTGCATCTGCAGACCACTTTCAGTCTTCAGATGCAGACTTGGCTCCTACCAATAGATCATCAACATATAAGCATTCATTCAAGATCCTAAATGTTTCTTTATTTGAGTCATTGTATTAATTTATGTAGTGTTTTATTGTCACCGCTTAGGGTAATTTGCTTTGGAGCTAGAAGTGTGACTTTTGTGATTCAGTGAATTTTCATTTCCCCAAATTATCAACTCATCAATACATTGAACTCTCTGATAACTTTGATCATCTTCCCTAGGGAAATTTGTAAAAAAAAGCCTTTTCAATATCAGCCATGAAATCAGTTCTATTTTTCTGAAATTTAAAAGTAGTCCAACTAAGGTCCTTCTTAGATTATCATTCAAAGACAAGCTGTTTAGCATTTTAAAGAAAGCATCATAAACTACTCTTAATTTAGTAATTTCACTGTCTTTCTTAATGGCAAGATGATGGGACATATAATATGTTTTGTTTTGAAATACTTCTGTTTCGGGATTTATTTCCTCTGTAATACCTTCAACTAACTGTCCATTTTTATAGTCTTCATAAAGAGATATGTTACTCTTAAATCAATTCTTTAAACTGAGTAATCTTCATTTTGCAATATTAAAATTATGTCTAATTTTGTTTCTCCATTAAATGATAATCTAACTACATATATTTTACCATTAAATTTTATTTCTGTTTCAAATTTTTTCATAACATCAAAGTAATTCAATGAACTATGTTTATGTTGAACAACCAAGCTATCAATTTGCCAAAATCTCTTCAATTCTTTATTTGTTTAACAGTCCGCAAACCCATTATTAATACTGTCATGTTTATTTTCATAGCCATGCATGAAAGATGTTGGAGCCGTTGCTAGACAAATATTAACCAGCATTTTTTCGAACATTAGATGTTTGATCTTGAAAACATATTCCGAACAAAGTCTTTACAACAATTAAATTATTGCTTATCTTTTCGTATCCACCCGAATTTATTTCTGTAAGTATTCCTCATCTATCCAAGCTTCAAATGGTTTTGTGCTGTCAACAAAGTATAATTCGGATTCAGCATAGCTGCTTTCTCATCTATCCAGGACACAAACTTGTACAGTAATTTTCTCTGTGATTTATACTTATTAAAATTCCATTTTCTTCTTAGGGTCATTTGGATTCTTGTCACTCATAATAATTTTCCCTCTGGGTCACGATTTCCAAATGTATAAACAATTAAATTTTCCTTTCTTATAAATGGAAGTTTTAACTCATCCGCTAATGATTTCACAATAAAGGAACACATTGAAGCATTATCAAATAAAACCCTAATGATTTTTATTTATAAAGTGTTATGATTCTCACAGAGCATGTTTGTAACAGAACTGAATTTGAGTCTTACTTATTTTCAGTATGATACAGACGAAGCTTTCATTTTCTTTCAACTCTTTCATTGAGTGAACTTTGGGTTTGTAAATTTATTTTTTCGAAGCAGGACTCTCTTGATGATTATTAGACTCACATTTTTTACATGGATTTAATTTTGACCTATAACTTTTTTTTTTAGTTCACTGTTTGATAAATAACAGTGCAGACTGTTTGTTTGAAACCCAGTAGTGTATTATCTGATATCATAAGATCTGGACTTCATGAAGGCCAGAGAAACAGAACTGGACACATGTCTAATTCTCATCTAATCCACTGATTTAAAAGAAAACTTTGTTCAGGTGGCGTCAAACAAGCAAAGTATGTTGGTGCCCTTTTGTGTTGGAACTAGCATTCTGCAATATTCCTATTATAGTCTGCAACATGAATGTGGCCTATATATGGTATATGGAATTTGCGTGTACTTACTATCTTTAAACATAAAATTGCATATTTTAGTCATCACTTTTTTTCCTATAATCATTCTTAGATTTCCCTACCCGAATATATATATGTTTGTTCCTTTACAAACTGTAGTATTTTTATTGGGTTTTTTTATCTTTATGTTACTATCTTCTTATAGTTTAAATAAGCTTACTTAATTTTTTTAGGCAGTGAATGTGTTGAAAGATATAGAAAGCGACAATAGTAGTACATCCACTTCAAGTTCATGTGCTATTTGGGATGCGTACTTTGCAGTTGCTCGTTATGCTGATAGACAGTACCAAAGCATTATGAATTATAAAAAATCTACTGCATATCAGATGAAACAAGAATTATTGCATAGCTCTAAAGAAGAAGCTAGAAAACTGAAATCAAAGGATAATAATGAAGAGTAAATTTTTTAAGACCTTTTATTATTATATGTTCATACATTTAAATTAGAATAGAATTCTAATAATTCATTATCACTTAATCTGTGTTTATTTTTGGATATATTAAAAAAAAATTGCCAGTGCTCAGAAAATCCAGTGGAACAAATCTGAAGGCAATTTTGTCTTATACATATTTGCTAATAAACTTTTAAATATAAATACAGTCAAAAGTCTTTAATCGGACTCGTCGGGACTTCGGCGATTCCGGATTATAGATCATCAGTTTTAATCTGGTAATTAGGCATGCAGAAATTATAAAATTAAAAATATGAAACCGTAATTTATGAAATAAAGAGCAATTATGATCTAAAGGGTATCAAAATTTACAAAAAAAAAAAAAAGCTTTATATTTATTTGTTTAATTTATTAAACATTTTTTTCAATGCGCGCATGCATAAAGCATACATTGCACATAGTCGAAATTAGAAAATTGCAACCAGAAAACTATTTGATGTGTATTCGTGATATTTATAATGACGAGGAATTTGATTTAAATCATATCAAAGAGAGAGTACATCGAGATGAAATACTACATTTAGTAAGGAATTATAAACCGAATAAAATAAAAACATCTGTCCTGAAGATAAAGATAGTGCTGATAGATCAACTTCCAGTTCATTGCGTGCCGCGTCGCCCCCCCCCTCCCCGGCAGAGTAGCGTGAAATTTATAAACATATTTCGGAATAATTAGAGAATCAAAGGATATGCCTTTATCCATTTTTTGCAGCAATTCCACTTTTTGTTTGATGGACATCGAAACGTGCTTTCGCTTTGTAGATCCTTTGGCAGCTCCAGAATTGGAAATTCTTTTTGACATAATCGAAAGTTCAAGCTTGCTTTTATAAAATTTAAAATGTGCATGCATAAAGGTATTATGAGCATGCGTTAATGCATTATGCGTTGACGCATGCGCAGAAATTTTGTAGCTTTGAGGTCCGGATTATAGATCATTCCAGATTATGGACATCCGGATTAAAGACTTTTGACTGTACACTACATTTATAATGTATTTTGATCGAAGAAGTGAATTTATTTTTTTAATCATTGAAGTTATTTAGCATTGCTTCATGTCAGCACTCATTATAGTTATCATGGATCATGTTTTTTTTTTCATTTTTCAGATAAATCTCTATTTTTGGTGTATGTTATACTATCTTTTAAAATTAATTAATTAATTTTATATGGTTAATATATGTGAAGAATTTATTTATCCACAGTTTTTTAGATGTTGAGTTCCCATTTAATTTAACCTAACAACTAATTTGCTTGCGTCTGCATGACGAGCAACCTTGTTTACATTAGCAGGAAATAGGGATTGATTCTTAAAAATATTACACAGATTTTTCTTGCATTAAAATTGGAAAACATATTAAAGAAAGGAGAGCTAAAAACAGTAGTCAGTAGCATTTTGATCCAGTTATAATGTGTGGAATGTTATGGCAACTTAACATAAGAATTTGTTTTAGGAAAAACCATATTTTTCTTCCATTTTGAGAAGACTGTATTTGTTTGTGTTAAGATCTGAAATATTGCTTTGAGAGTAATTTTGCTGCTGAATATGCAGTTATATATATATGTGTGTGTGTATGATAACAAACTTAGAAGTAACGACTAGCAGAAATTTTGATGGCGTAGAAGTGTTGAACCATAATAAATAGGAAATTGGAGGCGAAGAAAGATTAAATCTTCATTTTTTATTTCAGCAAACATGTTGCGGCCACAATCAAGTTATCACATTAATTGTGCCTATTCCAAAAATTACACATTTTAGATAAATTTGCAGTAAGAAAGAAGAAGCAAACAGACTGTAGTCAAACTAGGCGAAAGCTTAGAAAACAAGTGCGTTTTGTTTAGGATGAAATCTTAATTCAGAGTGAATTAGTTTTGTTTTTCATTGCATTCTGATTGGATAGTTAATGTTTCTGCAGAATTTTTATTGACTGCTTGAGTTTTAGTTCCATTTACATCATCAGAATTATGTAAGAGTCATATGACATGGATTAATCTAGAAATGACACAATGCAGAGGAAGATTAATATTTTTAGAATTGAGAAGGGAAATTTACGTTGCTAATTTAATCTTTTACATATTCTTTATTTTTCTTACATATAAGCATGAAATTTTTTTATTTTAAAACAAAGTTATCCCAATCTTATTTCTGTGCAATATGATGCTAAAAATTAATTAGATGTGGACAAAAAAAATGAGAAATTTATAACCAAATCTGCGAAGATCAAAAAGAAATTAAATTCAAAACCAGTAAAATTTCAAAATTCCAATTTGAAGAATTTTTAAAAAATAGATTTTTTTTTCCCTATTTTTAGAAACTGTAGACATTTCTAAGTCTGTTAAAAAAAAAACGGCATTACGATATTCGAATTAAAACCTTAAAAATTATGAAATAAAAGAAATGATTCTGAGGTAAACTTTGCCAAATCTGGCATTTAAATCATCACCTGACATTTGTTTACATTTGTATGCGTAGCTGCATATGAATGTCCACTCGTAAATTGCTGTAATTTTTACTATTAACATCATGTTTATTATTTTTACAGATATTTCTAAGAACAGGATTCGTACAACTCAACTTTTAAAGCGTGTTTTTGAGCATTTTGTTTACAATTCTCGTGCTGAAGTAGTGCTTGTGTTTGACTTGCTTATGACGCTTATCTTTCATTTGATTGCCTAAAATTGATACAGTCTTTGATATTATAATTTATAAATATGGATAATGAACCAAACAAGTGAATGTCTGGAAGAAGACTTAAAAAATACAGGTTCTGTGGTAACCAGTTTACTAAGAAATTCTCTCCTCCAAAACAACTCAATGCTTCCAGTAAAAAATTGGATAATGCCTCGGACATGCAGAATGATGTAGCTTTTACGGGTTATTTACTTATTGATAAATGTATTGTTTTCAAAATGATAGAAGACTGTGTTGTGTGCAAAATTTGTGATGGAAGGATTAAAATTTCATCAAATATTGTAGGTGGACTTTCTGTAAAATTTGGAATTTTTTGTCATTTTTGTGGTGAACTGTCATGCAGTCGAAACTCAGCAATGCCAGGTAAACAAAAAAACGTTTGGCTGAAATAAATTCCAGGTTTATTTATGCTATGCACGAACTAGATCAAGGACTATCAGGTGCAAAAACATTTTGTGGAATAAGGGATTTGTCTCCACCTATTACATTCAAAGCTTACAACTCGGTGAATAAACAAATAAAAGATGCTTCTTTCATGGTCGCTAAAAAAGCATTCCTTCTGCTGTCAAAGAAGAAATCAAGTGTAATAATAATAATTCGGATTTGACTGTCAGTGGAGGTGGTACTTGAAGGATCCATGGCCATACTTCTTTAGTTGAGTGTGTGCAGTGATAGGAACATTGTGTGGAAAAGTAATTGATGTGGAAGTTCTTTCTTCATATTGCAAAGGTTGCAATTGTTCAAGCCGGAGGATATTCTTATCTAGTATTGGTGCGTAGCCTCCACGGTATTAACATGTAATAGATGTATTTTACAGAAAGTTTGGGATGAATTTCTTACTTTTTGGAGAACATCTGGAAGAACAATGAAAACATAATATTTGAACTAGAATCTTTTTCTTAACATGTTTACTATTTTCCCTACTTTTCACTAGACACACGTAAGGAAAATATCAAAAATGCTTCTAATTTTATCACATTATAGAAAGGAAATTTTTCATTAATAAAGAAATGGAAAACCGACAGTTTAAAGATTTATCTAATATATCTTAATGCATCATACACAGAGCTGGCGCTAGGCATTTTCTCACCTGATGCAATGTGTGCAGATCCTAAATTCTGCTGCCTAGTGCCTTTCTAAATTTTGCTTCCAGTGCCTGATGTAAATTCTAAAAGTTTTGTCATTTCTAGATTTTGTTGCTCGATGTGTCTCTAAATTCTAAAAATTCTGCTACACCAGGTCTGTAACCGGCACTTGCCACATATATTTCATATTTTTTCTTATGTTCAAATTACTAAAGAGGAGAAATTAGCAGCTCTTTCTATACTTTCTAAATGCATTTAGTTTTTATTATTATTGTATTATTATTATTATTATTATAGAATAACAGAAATATTTAATTAAATCCAAAATTCTAAAAGGAAAAGGAAACATGTTGAAGAAAACTGAATACATAAAGAGAAAGAAAGTTATTCTTCAAAGATATGTACAGTTATTATGTAAATTACCCAGTTTGTTTATAATTTCAGCCTTTACTATAATTTTTCATTTCTGTGTCCTCACCAGAATGCAAATCATTTAGATAGTTTTTAAACTGAGGTTTTTGAAGTGTAAGACAGAGTGTGTTTCTGGCCTCCACTTGCTTGCTGCATTAGTTCCTGCTAGCTCTGATCATTTGTAATTATTCGTCTTTGCATTGTCACCGCAGACATTTGAATTTGTGAGGATGATAGAATTACTGAGTCAGCTTGAATTAAAATTAAATTGTATAGTATTTGACCACTAGTCCACATTTTTAGTTTGAATTTGACTCTTCTTGTTGAATTATATCACCACGAGATGTATTTGATTTTGTTAGCATAAGAACATGCATTTATGTTCTAAGTTCTTTTTAAATAAAAGAGGCTTATTCAAACCTTTGTCTTACTTTGTAGTTACTTTCAGACCTAGCAATAATATGCTTCATGTCTGTGTCGATATTGTGGACTGTTTAACTCTTACTTGATCAAGTAAACTCTCATAGGTACATTGTGAAGAGGTTGACAAGTTAGGAGATAAAGCACGCAGAAACTAGTGAGAACACTGCTTTGTGTATTAAGACAAATTTCTGATTGTTAGAAAAGATGCTTAAAGAGAAGGAAATTGGTGTAAGTTAGCCGAAATGTCTGGGAAGATTTCAAATTAAAAAGATGCGTAAATATTTTGTTGGTGAAATTTTATTAGATTATGATTTTAATAGGGCTTTTTTAACAAGTA